AAAATGCAAGTGATCGCGCTGGCGCCTCCATGTCCTGCAAAGCTCGCTTCAGCTTCCATTCTCCACAAAAACGACTGTATATGCGTGTAACAGCACACATTTATCTAGGTTAAATTTTGAAATTATTATTGTGAATTGCATGAAGTGTTTTATGTCTATAGATTTTATTTTAGGCAAGTCATGTTGATTTGAGAAGGCTAAACTGATCAAACATGTGCTCAACTCAGCCCGCCGCTGGCCGCTTGGTCGTTACTTTAAAAAACAAAAAAAATTAATTTAGCAAACATAAAATGTTCCAAACGTATTTCTAAATGAACTTAATAAAGAAACGAAAATAAATATAACCACTTTGCCATTATAAATCAAAACTGGACTAGCCTATTTGCTGCAACAGCAGCTGTGTAAAGGGGAAGAAAGAGAGAGATAGAAAAAAAAAAGACATGGGCTCGGGTCAGACTCAGGACGAGAATATTCTGATGTCGGAAGGACCAGCCCGTGCAGGGCTCTATTCATTCCCTCGTTTCAATTAAAAGTTCCCCCTCGGCTCGGCGGGCCCACAATATGGCCGGGCCCATATGCACCTGCATACAAGAAGCTACGCACCTGACCACCACCATGTTTCACAGATGGGATAAGGTTCTTATGCTGGAATGCAGTGTTTTCTTTCTCCAAACATAACGCTGCTCATTTAAACCAAAATGTTCTATTTTGGTCTCATCCATCCACAAAACATTTCTCCAGTAGTCCTCTGGCTTGTCCACATGATCTTTAGCAAGCTGCAGATGGGCAGCAATGTTCTTTTTGGAGATCAGTGGCTTTCTTCTTGCGACTCTGCCATGGAAAACAGCTTGAAAGATCAAAGACAATTTTTAATATAACTCAGACTGGATTCGTCTGAAAGAAGAAAGTCATATACACCTAGGATGACTTGAGGGTGAGTAATTTATGGGCTAATTAAAATTTTTGGGTGAATTAACCCTTTAAGAAAAAAATGCAAGTGATCGCGCTGGCGCCTCCATGTCCTGCAAAGCTCGCTTCAGCTTCCATTCTCCACAAAAACGACTGTATATGCGTGTAACAGCACACATTTATCTAGGTTAAATTTTGAAATTATTATTGTGAATTGCATGAAGTGTTTTATGTCTATAGATTTTATTTTAGGCAAGTCATGTTGATTTGAGAAGGCTAAACTGATCAAACGTGATCAACTCACTGTCTGCCGCTATCCGCTTGGTTGCCACTTTAAAAAACAAAAACTTGAATTTAACAAGCAAAAAATGTTCCAAACATTTGTCTAAATTCACTTAATAAAGAAACGAAAAGAAACGTAACCACTTTGCAACTGAAAACAAAACTGAACTATTTTAATGGCTGCAACAGCAGCTGTGTAATTAGGAAGCGAGAGAGAGAAAAAAGACACGGGCTCCAGTCGGACTCGGGCCGAGAATTCGGATAAGCTGTCAGACAAGAACCGGGCTATAGGGCCTGAGCGTCTCGGGACCACCACCATGTTTCACAGATGGGATAAGGTTCTTATGCTGGAATGCAGTGTTTTCTTTCTCCAAACATAACGCTGCTCATTTAAACCAAAATGTTCTATTTTGGTCTCATCCATCCACAAAACATTTCTCCAGTAGTCCTCTGGCTTGTCCACATGATCTTTAGCAAGCTGCAGACGGGCAGCAATGTTCTTTTTGGAGATCAGTGGCTTTCTTCTTGCGACTCTGCCATGGACACCATGGTTGTTCTGTTCAGTGTTCTCCTGATGATGGACTCATACACATTAACATTAGCCAATGTGAGAAAGGCATTTAGTTACTTAGAAGTTAGCCTGCAGTCCTTTGAAACCTAGTGGACTTTTACACGTCTTGCTTTTAGAGTGATCTTTGTTGGTGGACCACTCCTGGGGAGGGTAACAGTGGTCTTGAATTTCTTCCATTTGTACACAATCTGTCTGACCGTGGATTGGTGGAGTCCAAACTCTTTAGAGATGAATTTGAAACCTTTTCTAGCCTGATGAACAACATCAACTCTTTTTCTGAGGTCCTCAGAGATCTCATTTGTTTGTGCTATGATACACTTCCACAAACATGACCAAACTTTGATAGATCCTTGTTCTTTAAATAAAACAGGGCACATACTGACACCTGATATCACTGACTGAAAACACCTCTGAACAGATGGACTAATTTTCACCTTCAAATTAACGGCTAATCCTAGAGATTCACATACTTTTGCCACTCACAGATATGTAATATTGGATTATAAGGCAGAGTATGGTAGGGTGACCATACGTGCCATTTTCCCAGGACGCGTCCTGGCCAGGATTTCTATATTGCTTAAAATATCTAGGTTTTGGCTTTGTTTGCGTGTGCAGACCAATCGGTGTATGACATCAAAATACCATACAGACGGTTCCTTATGCTTTCAAAATGCTCTCGAGGTACTTTGATGTCATACACCGATCGGTCTGCACACGCAAACAAAGCCAAAACCTAGATATTTTAGGCAATATAGAAATCCTGGCCAGGACGCGTCCTGAGAAAATGGCACATATGGTCACCCTATAGTTAGCATTGTGTTATCATTTACTCACCCCCATGTATGTGGTTGTGTGAATATAAACATCAAACTACCTCCTTCTGTGTTCCATGCAAACAATAACAGTATACGGTTGGGAACGACACGAGTGTGAATAAATGATGACCAAAAAAACATATAACTTCATAAATTACAAACTTTCCCTGAGAACCCTACAAGCCCTAGATAAAATTGTATTGCGTACATGATAGATTCATGAGTAGTTATGAGAAATGAAGGCACTGAACAGTACCTCTGCAAGGTTCGGCGCAATGGTCTTTTCCAGAATACTTTCTTGGGTTGTATTTGTATTTAAGGTATGGTTAGTCATCTGTTGTGGATAAAAATCAGAAGATATATATAAAAGAACATAAATTTAATCTGAAAGCTTTTACGTTCTTTATCTCACTAGAGGTGAGATTTACAGCATGATATATAATATGACCATGGCTTCTAATATTACTCCATTTTAAAGCAAAAATGGCACTCACCTGCTCGTAATTACTTCCATTAACAGGATCTTCAGGACCTTGCTGTAGATATTTATGAGTAGATTAAAAATGTGGTTTATTCTCTTAAATAGCAGCTATGCTAGCATAATTGTTAAAAGTTATGATGTCTCCATCATGAATTAATACAAAAGTATTTTTGGGAATGTTCATACTTTTGTCATTTCACACTGCATGTATGAACACTTTGTCTTGGACACAAAAAGGCAGCTATTTACCTGAGAGGGTTTGTATAATAGAAATATGCCTTCATTTATTAGGGCTGGTGATGTCTGTGGAAAGATCAGGTAGTATTATTAAAAACAACACTAAAAGTGATAGTGAACAATATAAAAAATACAATTCTGATATATTTTGTAGATATACAATTAGATATACAGCTAAACCAATTCTGAATAGTACAGTGGACATAGGCTAAATAACAAATATGATCAGGGACTTTATTTATTTTCATCATCAGTCATTCATCAATAGTTCTAAATATACATACATCTCAGACCAGAAATACATACACTATGTTAGTAATTGTTTTTCAATAACCGCAACACTGAAGCTGTGAGGAGTGTGTGATTAATGCTATTGGAGAAATATTTTTACATACCTTATGCACTAAGAGTGTTACCAAACAGGCACACAGAACACAGATGAACACTTTCGTTTCCATTCTCAGTGTCTCTGTATTATTGAGTTGGAGGTTTTGTAGCTGAGACGTCAGAGAGGTTTAGAAGAGGTTTTTTGTATATGCCAGAGCTTGTTGCTTTCAACAGGGAGGAGCCATGAACAAACTGATGGTCATTCAACTGTTGGATCAATAGCTTTTTTTTTTGGTAACCAAGACTCTCAAAATGTCAAAACAAAAATTGACTCAAAAATAAACCCCTAGAATGTGATTTCATTCGCGTCAATCTTTTATCCATCAATGTTCCAGTTAGTGCTGAAACATTTTTGAATAAAGGGGTCATATGATGCTGCTAAAAAGAACATTATTTTGTGTATTTGGTGTAATGAAATGTGTTTATGCGGTTTAAGGTTAAAAAAACACATTATTTTCCACATACTGTACATTATTGTTTCTCCTCTATGCCCCGCCTTTCTGAAACGTGTCAATTTTTACAAAGCTCATCTGTCTGAAAAGCAAGGTGTGCTCTGATTGGCCAGCTATCCAGTGCGTTATGATTGGCCGAATACCTCAAGCATGTGACGGAGATGTTACACCCCTTACCATATTGTGATGCCCTGTCCGACTGGAGCGAAGAGACAAAAACATGAAAACCCATTATAAACGAGGCATTCGTTGCATCCAGTGGGGACATAATTATGGATTGTCATGCTTGAGGCCGGAGGCTAGAGTGAGGAACGGCCGGAGGGCTAGAGTGAGCAGAGGCCGGCAGATTCAACGAAGGAGCAGAGCTTGTAACACTCCAAAGAGAAAGGAAAAATTGAAATCGCATCATATGACCCCTTTAACATTCATGTATACATATTCATACTTATAATATAGCTACAGTAATATTTATCATGTCCATAATATTGATGCAGAAAGAAAGACTTCTGAGATTTTGGGGTTATGGATCGCTGAAAGTAATTTGTTAATACTTTCACATTTTTAAATGTCCTTAATATTTTGAATCAGGAGATATATGTTTATGCATTTATTTATTTGTTTCCTCTCTTTCCTCAACAGTATAATTCATTGAAAGCACCTTACTTCTATCCAGTGATCGAACTGAATCAAGTCTTATGGGGGTCCCCACAGTTTTTTTTTTTTAATGGGTGGAGTAGAGGGAGGGGGTATATTCATAACTATATACCATTTATTAAAACAGACTTTCATAAAAGAACAAGGAGCAGACAAAAAAGGGCAACTGGGGCAAAATATGCAGGTGACTACTTATAAGGCAACTGAAGACCTGCAAAAAATATGTGACTTGAAAATACATTGAAATGTCTCTAAAAACGCTAGAAAATAATGAAATGGCTTCCAAACTCATTGGAGGGCCTCAGTCAGATTCAGCAGTGGCATTCATATGTCTCAGTAAGCAATGATAAAGCAGCCGTCAGTAACTTCAAAATGACCTTAATAAAAGACATGTTTAATTTATTTCAATGTTTTATCCAGGTTTACAAATAAAATTGTCATAATTCCAGCCTTACTGAGCAATGGTGCCAACTGTCCCTTTGCGCCACCTGGTGGTGATTTCGCGAACGAGTTTCACACGTGACATGGTTGTATTTCGGCGGCGTATTCTATATAGCAGGGTTCCTCAAATCTGGCCCACGAGATCCACTTTCCTGCAGAGTTTAGCTCTAACCCTAATCAAACACACCTGAGCATGCTAATCAATGTCTTCAGGATCATTAGAAAAATCACAGGTAGGTGAGTTTGATCAGGGTTGGAGCTAAACTCTGCAGCGCATTGGCCCTCCAGGGCAAGATTTGAGGAACCCTGCTATATAGTATTCTATATAGTCTTTGATGATATACATTTTGGTTTACTACCTAATGTATGTCATATACGATTATTTTGATTTATTTTCAGAATTTCTGGTAACAAAATTTTTAGTTTTTATGCCACGAGTCTGTTTTGATAATTTTGCAATAATTATAAAATAACAATGAAAAATTAGTGCAGGTTCCAATGTATGGTATAAGGTAAGGCCTACAAATGCTTCGACACACACACACACACACACACACACATATATATATATATATAGAGAGAGAGAGAGAGAGAGAGAGAGAGAGAGATTACATTACTTCAGGCTTTCTCTTTCCGACTTCGAGTTGAGATTTATGAGTCTCCTGTTTTTCGTAAAGGTAGCTTCACCTAAGCAAACACTAAACAGATGTAGGGAAGTTTACACATGACAACCACTCTTGAGTCTTGAGTCACACAAATAATAATAAAACTAAAACTAATACTAATATTACTACTTCTAATAATAATAATTTACGGGATTTACCGTAACCTAACTGAATGAATAATCAGATTTGTCATCATTATATTTACTAAAATAAAAATATCTGGGGGACCCCCCAAAGTTTATTTTTGACTTCTTATGCGGGATATTATCACAACTTATCAACTAAACATTAAAATTAAAGTTATCCCAGATTTTTTTGAAAATGAGTTGGAATAAAATAAATGGTTCAGTGACAAAAGGTGCACTCATTACAATCCCATTTAAATCTGTGTCTGAGAATAAATGTCAGTAATTATTTAAAACTTAACCTCTTTAGCCCTCGGTAGAAGAGAAAGAGAATTTGAGACACTTTCTCTTTGGAGAATTCAAAAACAAGGCATCACTCTCTAACTTTCAAAAGGGAAATTCTGTGCATTTAAAATAATTTTTAAAGCACTATTATTACAACCTCCTGCATAAAATTAAGACCAGAAATCATTAATTTACTTAGTCTTGGGATCACCAAAAGGGCCAAAACCACAGGAAACATGCCTGAATAAAAGAGATTGATTGATGCTAATTACACCTGTCCTCCTTCTGAGACGTTGAAAGTGAGATCAAGGAAAGACTCCAATAAAGGAAAGAGGAATAATCAGCTGAGCTCATGGGTATTTCAGCTGAATGGGGTGCTGGATAATGTGTCACAAGAGGACACCTATGATTGTGTTGTGCCGGGAGCATTCGGGGGCTACAATGGTTGGTCATTCAAATGCATACATATGTAGCATATCTGAAATCACAAACATTCACAAAGACATTTTATACTTTGAAATAAAATACTTATAAAATGTGTGTTTAGGTACAATAATGTGCTTTGGGCAAACTGGTGCTGGGAAAACATACACTATGACAGATGCTGCAGAGAGTTACAAACAGAGAGGCATCATTCCTCGAGCCCTAGACTTATGATAAAGAAGCACATAAGTGCTTCTGCTCTTATGGCTAACAAATAATCTCTCGTTTCCGCAGGTTTTCCAGGAGGTGGAGCGTCGCACAGATCATACCTTCTCTGTTCATCTTTCCTTTCTTGAAATCTATAATGAGACTATGGTAGACTTGCACTCCAGCTTAAAGCAGGAAATAAGTTGGAATAGTGGGGTCTTAACTGTGGAAGAGGAACCAGGGGTCGGAGTCTCAATTAAAGGCTTGTCATTAAATTTGGTTCACACTGAAGAGGAAGCTTTTAATCTGCTTTTTGAGGTAAGAGGTCAAGTCAAAGTCATGAGGTATTCGATCAGCTTATTAAAAAAAGATGAATGCATATTTATTTCAGGAAAAATAGTCTATTTCCAGAAAACAGAATTCTTATCAGGTTGTGTTTGCACTGTTAGGGGCAAAGGTTTGTTCTTATCTCTCATCACTTCTGTTGACAAATTGGCTAATGAAAAACAATATGACATAACCACCATCAGAAAGCCAGAAACGTCATTAAAGGTCTCATTATATTAAAACAAATGACAAAAACTTGAATGTTTTACCCGCATGGCCCCACATTTGGTGGACAACAATACTTTCGTGAGAAGTGAAAAGGTAGAAACTGGTGTCTCATGCATCATTAACTCAGCTACAGGTGCAGGGGTCGGTATGTGCTGTTGTGAGAGATGGAGAGGTGTGGATATGGCCTTGGTTTCACTAACTCTTCACAGAGACATCAACGAGCTGTGTCACCTAAACCAAGTAAAGCAAGAAAATACAAACAGATCAGCAGGTGACAACCTCTTTCCCTAATGTGCGAGACAGGATGTGAAAAATTAACTAAGTATTCATGTTGAAATACAAAATGTAACATTTTAAAATGTAAGGCAGCATCATAAATATTCACGGAGAAGAACTGCTCACCATACACTACATGACTGAGGATCATGCACAACCAGAGTCATTCCGAACACAACAAACTCACACAGAAACAGGCACTTCCTTGCTAGGAGATGCATGAGAAATGAACACAAAATGTTCTAAAATCAGCTCAAAATATCAAACATGTTTTATATCATGGTCTGAAGCTAAATAATCAAGAGTCTGTGACTGTGCCCATCATACACCACATGATTTTCTGCGAGATCTCTCAACTCTGGTTAGGTCAAATCTAAAGACTGCAAACAGGGGCAAAAATCTGGGCAAAGGTTGTGAAGTGTATTCCAGCCTTTAGTTTGCCACATTCTCTGTGAATAAACATGATGAAATCTCTGTGATATAGAGGACAGTGTGATGCAATTGTGTCCATCTACCCACTCATTTCAGTGACACTTTTCTAGGAATGTAAATGTTTGTACTTAATTTGCAAACATTAAACAGCAACGAGCATACATGACAATCATTACATTTGAGAAAGTTAGATATATAAAATTGTCATTCTAAAAATTATTTCCATTAGTAAAAGGCCATAATGGTCATCAGACAATCCCTGCCTCCTTCTATGTATATTTGGAAAAACCAAAACCTCACCATAAACTAGGAGCATTTGGAGTAACCAACCAAATTTTGAAAATGGACCACCATGTTGTGAATTCAGTACTTCAGTAAATCTTATCTTGAGCAGTGAGTCAACGGCCACTGGAAAATGCATGAGTGAATCAATCTGACATGGCCACACACGAACCCCAACAACAAGCTCCAGAAGAACTGCACAGAACTGAGTTAGTGCTTCATTACACTAGCAGTGTTGGTGAGCTTGAGGAGACCTCTGCTGACCGGTACCAAGTACCACAGTTGCTAATAATAACTGTAGACGATGAAAATAAATGCATGTCAAATTTCATGAACTCCTCAGCTCTCCTCCATCCAAAGCTGAGGCTTTTGAAGATTTCAAAGCAGAACGAGGAAGTGAGATCAACCGCATACTAAAGGAGAACAAGGCTGTGCTGTTGGAGAGCACGGCCCAATTACGCACACTCACAGATGTCATCAATGTCACTAAACGGGATCTTGACTACATTACGAACTGCGACAATATAGAGAGCGAAAACAAAACCAGGGTAAGCATTACATGACTCATCTGAATCTATATTGATTTGCCTACTGTTTTTGAATGAGATGTAGTTATCACATCTCATATGTGTCACATCATGCTTGTCATGTGACACACTGCAGCCACTGTATAACTGATATAAGCTTATGTTTGATTGATTTTTTCCACCTTTTTATTCGAAATATTTCCAAACGTATTAACTAGCCTATATCAGGAAATATCTCGATTGTCAAATATGTGTAAGTAAATGCGTTGTGCACCTTTATAGATGATGTTATTTGATCAATAAATGGTGATGGGCAAAGTAGACTAATAGTGTAATCTATTAACTACACATAAAAACCCGACTTTTTACTTAAGTACAAGATATCGGTGTCATGCCATAAAATAGTTTTAATACGACTGACTTTGTATTTAATGTAAATTTAATAACAATATTGTAAGTTACTAATTATGACACTTTCATTTTCAAAGAACATTTTCATTCAGTTTAGCCAGAGTTCAGGCACTCTCAAAAACTCCCATTAAAATCGCTGAAGCTGTTTACACTGTGAAATTAATAGCTTACTTACATTCGTACATCTGCACTTTGTTGTTTCTGATGAGAGAACTCGCCAGATCAGTCAGCGAGCAAGTGAACGAAACACCGCGTTTTAGCGATGACTCATCTGGATGTCTCTGATTGGCCATTGCATTCATAAGCTCAACAGACTCGTGTGTGATTGGTTATAATGTAGCGCTGTACAAACGCGTCTGTCTCTGGCTCGTGAACGCAGATTTGAATAGCAGCGGATGCTGTGCTGCACTGAACGATCTAATCACACCGGTGCGATTGAATCAAATATTTAAAAAAATGTATTCGGCTATTTTTTGTCTTTTGGAAGCTCCATTAAAAAAACCCACTTGGCTTTGAAAGAACGGGCATGACGCCTCTGCGCACAAGGCTGCTACAGGTGAGTTCCTGTGGTTCTCCACACATAGTAATGTTGAAATCTCTCCATGGTTCTCAGGCTTCTCCATTTTTGATGAGAAATGAAATAACTCCATAATTCAGATAAGTTGTAATATATAATTGTCAGCATTTTCTATAACAAAAACATATATGAATTTATCTACCTGATCTATACAAATATATTCATAGTTGTATTTACTGATGCGATTTCAAGTTTTCCTTTCTCTTTGGAGTGTTACAAGCTGATTGTGCATAGATAAGATCCCTGAAGTTGCAAAGACTAAAGTCTCAAAACCAAAGAGACATTCTTTATCAACGTTAAGACTCTGCCACGCCCCCCTAAAACGGCTCGTTCTAACACGCCCCCACATATCTACCTCACTATGTGGAAATATTTGCATAATGCCACCCAAATGTGCACGCAAAGAAAGAATGCGTGGTTTCAGTAGCACAGTTAGTGTTGAAGCAGCCATATCAGGGAGACACTGTGTGTTTCTAGGCGAAAGCAAAAGCACTTTATTTGGCCTTCCGAAAGTAGATGCATTTAGGAATCTTTAAGATTACTTACAACAGAACAGCAATGCATTTTATGGACGACTGTTTCGTGAACCTAGGAGAGGAGATAATTCTGACTTTGCTATGACAATCTGGCGCTTCTGAATCAGCTACTGTTTTGTTATTAGTTTAAGTATTTGAGTTTTGCGCATCGTGTGTGTGTGTGTGCGCGCGCGAGAGAGAAAGAGAGTTCACAATGCACTGGGTCAGCTGGCCAATCAGAGCAGACTGCGCTTGTCAGAAGGAGGGACTTTGTAGAAAACGAAGCGTTTGAGAGAGGCGGGGCATAGTGGACTTACAATAATGTACAGTATTTGAAAAATAATGTGTTTTTTGAACATTAAAGCATGTCAACATATTCTGTTACACCAAATACACAAAATAATGATCTTTAAAAAAAGGATCATATGACCCCTTTAATGGGAGGTAGCAAAATCTGACAGGGTAGCACAAACCGACAGAACACTGGGTCACAAACACCTGTGGACAAAGCTTTAACTCTGGTCAGTAACATCCCCACATGTGCTCGTGTTTGATAAGATGTTAGAAACGTTTCTCAGCAAATTAGAATGATTTCTGAAGGATCCAGTGACACTGAAAACTGAAGTAATGGCTGCTGAAAATTCAGCTTTAAATTACATTTTAAATTGTAATATTTCAAAATATTACTGTTTTACTTTATTTTTTGATCCAATTGATGGATTAAACATAGTAAAATAGTAATATTTTGATATATTGGTGAACAATAACAAAAAACAAAAATCTAACAGACCCCAAACATCTGAACTGTAATGGATATGCTATCTATTAAAAGGCACAACTTTTTTTATGACAATACAAAATATTATATTTCCTAGCAACTGTCAATGAACGCTTCCTAATAATTCTTGTTTTCTTTTAAACAGTTTTATACCTATTTTGATTTCAAAGAGTGAAGATCTTTGTCCACCACTTAGAACATCACAGGAAAAGTTTGACATGTTTGTTGGAAATTATGTAAAGAGCAGAAACTATTCAGTGTTTGACAATGTGAGACTTGTTCCAGTGTGATTGTGTCAGATGTTGTATTACTGGACAGATGGAGGATGATGAAGAGCAAAGTGATAGTCTCCATCACAAGTTGCATGCAGACAGTACGGTGTCATTTGACAATGCCTATAACAGGACAAGACGTTCACAGACCCCCAATGCTAGCTTTCATTATTCTGCACTCAAATGATGCTGATTGCAATGCTAAATATATTTAACGATATAATGAAGGTGTCTTTTGTTTACAGAGGGGAAGCAGACAGGTGTCTCAGAGTCTGTGAGGGGCAGCAGGAGTAAAACACAACTCCCTCCAATTCTCTCAGTCATCTGAACAAAATATTATATTTCCTAGCAACTGTCAATGAACGCTTCCTAATAATTCTTGTTTTCTTTTAAACAGTTTTATACCTATTTTGATTTCAAAGAGTGAAGATCTTTGTCCACCACTTAGAACATCACAGGAAAAGTTTGACATGTTTGTTGGAAATTATGTAAAGAGCAGAAACTATTCAGTGTTTGACAATGTGAGACTTGTTCCAGTGTGATTGTGTCAGATGTTGTATTACTGGACAGATGGATGATGAAGAGCAAAGTGATAGTCTCCATCACAAGTTGTATGCAGACAGTACTGTGTCATTTGACAATGCCTAGAACAGGACAAGACGTTCACAGACCCCCAATGCTAGCTTTCATTATTCTGCACTCAAATGATGCTGATTGCAATGCTAAATATATTTAACGATATAATGAAGGTGTCTTTTGTTTACAGAGGGGAAGCAGACAGGTGTCTCAGAGTCTGTGAGGGGCAGCAGGAGTAAAACACAACTCTCTCCAATTCTCTCAGTCATCTGATGAAGGTCTCTTTATGCTCAGGCTCAGTCTTCAGAGTACTTGACACTCCCTGAAGCACGTTTCCATGAACGTGTGAATTCAGTAAGACATAGGAAAACATCTGCTACTTGAAACCTGCTTGTGCTGTATCATGTGCTAATCTGTCCTTAAACTTGATTTTGTTTTGATTCAAAACTTTGGATAATTTTTCAATTTCTGAAAATAACTTGCGGTGTATTTTTAATACATTTTTTAAATGTCAGTTTACACTTTACAATATATTTTCCACTTTAAGAAAACCATAGTTCGCTCTAATCAGAGGCAAAAACAACCCCAGTACATCAGGTTGTTAAATGAAAAGTAAACTTTATTATTCCTGAACCACAAAATAGACTTCTTTGGTTGTACAAATTCACTAGTTACAGTCCTGAATGAACTCTAACCCCAGACCTTTAGTCCCACCCTCCCCTTTAGCAAAAAACCAAAACAAAAGAATATCCTCCCCAACAATAAATCAAGACAAGAAAACAACAAGAGAAATCAAACTCTTCTGCTTTGAAAAAATAAAAATGTAGTGAATCCCATTATCCCATCGGTTACAGAAAACCAACTTCTTTTTTTTCCTCAAACTGCAGTTTTTAAAAAATACAATGATGAGCAATCCCAAACTGTTATTAAACTGAATTTCAGTCGATGAGAGCAACACAAAAGCTAATATTAGTAAATTAATTTTTTTTTCATGTTTGACAGGTTCATCGGGACACAGTGTTGATGGCAGCTAGGGTGTGAACAACTGATTTGAGAACGGTGAAATAAAACTCTTTACTTGAAGGAATAATAAAAGTCTATCATATTAGTCCTCACACAAGATTGACAGTAAAATTGCAATAAGCCAATATACAAACACAGGGATCAGTCGTCAAGACCCTGGTAGAATCATCTATACCCTTCAGACTTTAGTTTGGTCTTGGGGCAGAAAGGCTCAGATTCGATTTTTGCCTCTTTTTTTTTTTTTTTAGCATTTATACATTATTCACACGATGAGCTTTTCAGTGGCTTTGAAAGTTCAACTATTTAAAATGTAGATTAGAAAACATCTACTACCTTCACACACCTGTCAGAACAAGAGAAAGAAAAGATACGAGCAAGATTTGCAGATGTTTATAAAGACCAAATGTTCTCCGATGATTCAATTTCTTCCTCCCTCCCAAAATGGTACCATCTGTTCATGGAGAGGTAAGGTTATATGTCTGGCGAATGATGGGTTGTCAAAGAGTGAAATTCTCAAGTCTAGTCACTCTGTGTAGCAAAGGGAATGATTCAGTGTATAGATGGCCCAGAACAAGACGCAGAAATAAAAATGGAGAATGCATTTTAGTGTCCTTGAGGAAGACCATCAGCAAAGGGACAAAAATCTTATGAAACCATTATCCACTTCATTTTATTCTCCTAGTCCATTAAAGGAAGACTAGAGATCAATTAAAAGGTTTAGAATGACGCTACTCAATACAGTAGGTCAGTCTTCATGATATGGTATGATCATACATATTAGGAAAAGGTTTATAACAGATCTTTAAATAAGGTCAGATGCAACCTTTCAAAAATATTACATTCATTTGCATCACCTTAAAGAAGAAATTCTGTTTCGAAACTGATAAGGATAGAAAATGGAAATAAAGCTTTATGGCAAGGCCTCATTTTCATTTTTAAAATGCTGCGTGCAAGAAAATTTATCCCAAACCCCAAAATCTAAATTCGTCACAAAATAAGTAATCAGCTTATACATGTGTCAAAAAGCCTCAATTTGTTCCTCTATTGTATTGGAATCCCATAGATTAAAAACAGTATATTACATCAATAAATTACATTTAAAAGGAATAAAAACTTTTTTCTGATTGTGAATTAAAGCAACAAAAGTGGAAGTCTGGCTTACATGGGGCAGTGAAGGTAGCAGTATATCGTCTGCAAACTGAATCTCCCAAAAAATGAACAGAGTTATGTTTAAATAGCTCCTTTTCTGCCTTTCCACATTTTCATTTCTAGAGGAGGTTTTGAAAGCGTTTAGAAAGAAACACCCACAGCATCTCTTAAAATAACTCTGCTTCTAAAATGCCGACAGACAGAAAAACAGTCAAATAGGTAAATCAATCAGCCATCCTCTGGACCTCCCATAGTAAAATCTGAGCAACCCTTTTCAACTGAAAAGGCAAGACTAGCGTTCGGGAGACTCACCTCCCAACCTGTGTTGTGGGCACTGAAATAAGAGTGGTTTAATATCTGTCAACAATGTGTATTTCAGAGCATTCTAAGCCATGTGTGGCATCTCTTAGCATTAGATGATCACTATGTGTGTTTTATCTTCACAGTTCAGATGCATTAGTGTGTGAGTGTACAGTTATGTGGGCACTGGAGCCTCCAGGCTGCGGCGGCCCTGTCGTAGTTTGCGCTTGTTACTGTAGAGAGCCATCTCCTCTAGAGCAGATGTGGTGGCCACAGGAACTTCTGGATCTACAACAGACACTGACAGGAGAGACAACAAATATATTAAATATTGCACTGTAAGAGGAGCTGCTGTCTTTCACGCTGCACAAGTAAAACGCCTCTTCATCCACGGAAAAACTGACAGCTTTTATTTATGCTTCAATACCATCCCCTTGTCTTTAAATGCATATCGATTTCAGTTTAAAACCCACACACTCCCGCAAAGCAGTGATTCAGGAGAACCATTCGGTGCGTAAGCTGAAAGGCAGAGCTGCACACCATGCAGAAAATAACCCTGCAGAGCACTGATCACAATTGGGCACCTTTCGCGTACACTGTTATTGAGATTAGAAGCACACAGCAATATAACAAAGAGTGAAAATTTTAAGGGGGTCTGAATACTTTCCGTACCCACTGTATATATATGCACTGTACAGCTATGCCCTCTGGATTACCAAATCAATCCCTATTTTAATAAAAGTTCCAGTGACAGATCTCCTGTTAGACATACAAATAGCAAGTTCACCAATTTTTCAAAACATAAAACATGCAAGCTGCAAAAATGATATTAGCCTTTTTTACTGCTAATGCAGCAGAGAGCATTTTTTGAACTTTGAAAATCGCTTGATAATGCAAAGTAGGGATGCATAATATATTGGTACCATATAAGTTATTGGCTTATATTACAGATTTTTGAAAGAAATCTCTCTGGAATACTTGATTCTGATTCGTCAGTCTAAACAATGTTTTTAGTCTCACACAAAATGTTTTTTTTTTTTTTTACATTTAAAATCAATATTTATTATTAACATTATTTGGTGAAAAGCCATCTAGTAAGTAGTATGACTGTACTTAATCCCTTAAATGTTCATCTTGTTTAAAAATTCGACCCAAATCAATATTTTGTGTTCAATTATTTACTCATGTGGCAAGTAGCTATGAAATAAGAGGGATAAATGTACACCCAGCTGGTTGACAATGACCAAAAAAAAAAAAAAAAAAAAAAAAAACAACTGGCAAAATTATTTCATAATAACCAGCTAGACGCACAATATTCCTGACATATCTGTCAATATTAGATGTGCTATTAAGCATGCATATTTGCCCTGTTTTTATATTAAAAGCACCTTTACCATCATCTCAAATTTAACTCAAAGTTAATCTTTGAAACAAATAATTTAATGACACTGTTAAATGTTATCTTTAGCACTCAAACAACTGAAATCTCAATTTCATACTGTAAATTTACATTACGTTCTTTTAGGGTTTTACTTTCAATTTATTCAGACAGAATAGTACAGAATTTTAATACGGACCATTGTTATCAGCCATAAAATAAAAATAATTATCAGCTTACAATTATCAGACAGAATTTGAATATCAGGGCATCCCTAGTTACCTATTGTGTCAACCAATGTTGATACACACTATGCCAAACAGAAGAGTAGATGTTTAAATCTTCACCCATTATAACGCGTATGGCACTGTTATGGCAAACTGCAGCATGTGGCATCACATTCAGAGGAGTAGAATTGACATGCAGTTCTAGGGCTGGGCGATATGGCCATATATATATATATATATATATATCTGTATTTTCTAGCTGTACTGCGATATACGGTATACATCTCTGTATTTTCTATTTGGATGAAAAAAAATTATGTATTTTTAAAAATGTTATTTTACATCCTGCCCGATGTTCTCCAATGAAACAATGTTCATATTAAAGGCTATGAAAACAAATATAGTGACTGTACCATGTACAGTAGGTTATGCTATTACGTGCAAAAAAGGGTTCAAATCAGATTACATTCTAACATTACAATAAAAAAAAAAAATAAAAAAAAAGAAGCTTTTTAAAGCAGAAATTCACTAAGCCAGTACTTAAAATAAAAGTACTGGCATGGCGCTCGTTCACTGAAGTCTTCAAGAGACTTGAAGGCTCGTTCATTCCTGACAGCAAAATGGAAGTATTTCCATGAATTTCTAATGTTTACAGAAGGAGAAAATACCAGTGAAACGTAAGTTATGCACTGAGGAAAACACCGCATCTCTCTGTCAGCAAAACATGTATCGGTCAGAGCATCTGACGGGGCAAGTCGCTTTAAACTATACATGTTAACTATATCTTACGAGTTATTTTAAAGCCCTTAATATAAAGCATGTCTCATGGTTAGGACAAACTGGATTATGCACTCATTGCCTCATTCCATATTGTTTGTAAAAAATATATCGATAAATCGTACAAACTTGATATATCGCCCAGCCCTATGCAGTTCATGTCATCAGGATGTGTTGCAGGTAAAAGCGTTTGCCAGACGTTAGAGAACACGCCCATTTTGAAAAATTGGTAGAACTCTTAATCAAGTAACCATGATTCCCTAAAAACAAGTTGAAGGATGAAAGCACAGAGAAACCCACTGCTCATTTGAACCATACTCATTTTGAAGAAACTAGATTATAATCAAGTGCAGTACAGCAGGCTTCTTATCAAAAACCAATGCATATGCACACACAAACACACACAGATCTCCTACCAAAATTAGAAGAGCACTTATCCAAGGAAGTCGCCTGTGTCAAGAGGACAATAACTGTGAGCCAAGTACTAGTGAACACAACACATAAAGATACCCTGTACACTACAGCACTGACCCACAAATGATGAGGAACTTACCTGGGTTATCATCCATGAAGTGCACATCACCACCTGCACCAGGAGACTGCAAGAGAGAGACAGAGCGTGAGAGAAGGAAACAGAGTTCAGAAAGAATTCAACAGCTCATCTGTTTCTTTCTGGCAGAATAGACAATTGGAAGAGTGAAACCTTTAGGTGTCTCCCAAGAATAGCTCTTTTTGGCTGAAATGCAGAAATGCTGGGTGTAAATAATTTCTCATTCATTTTAAAAGACAAATGTAGATGACAAGATGAGGTCTTTTGAATGGGACAGAGGTTGTTTGGCTCAACAGGCTCTTGACATCTGAACCACAGAGCTGTTCTGGGAGACACTGCTTCACCTTCACCTGACCAGAAAGCACTTTGTAGGGGAGATGCTGCTTCAGACTTGCACCACTGCTGTGGACAGACTTACTGAGGGACATCTAGATTAAAATGCCTCAGATTCCTGTTTCATGCCCATAAGCCCTGAACAATCCTCATGTTCCTCTGTCAGAGAGCCAGGGATGTGGTGTTATAATAATGCGGATAATGCCCCAATAACAAGACTTTTTCCATCTCTTCACCTGCTAATTTTAAGAACGGGAAGAAAATGTATAATATACCAAACCTCTGCTTTTCACAAAGCCCACTTAAAACTTCACACAACAGTCCTTCCAAACACAACACAGGCATGCTGTTCAAACCTTCACCCCCACCTAAAACATGTTGCCAACATATTCCTTTTCATTTTTTGAAAAGGCTCAAAAATCCCTTGGAAAAACCCTGAGAGCTGTATAAAATGTTCCCAGTCAGGGTGAAGGTGCTTCTTCACACATTAAATCACATACCACAACATAAATACTCACAACACACAGCCAAAACATGGAAGTCTCAAAAGGCCACCAAATAATACATAAGGATTCACCAGGCTTCCTGTACATTGCTTTGCTTGAATACAGTGTGCAGTAAATTAAGATCGACTAGCAGGTACTTTGAATTACCCGTTTCTAACATAATCAAACAAGACAAACATATCTTAAAGAATTTAAAGGCGATTTTAAATGGGAACTTACACTACCGTTCAAAAGTGTGGGGTCGGTAAGTTTTTTGATGTTTTTAAAAAAGAAACATTAAAACAACACCGTGAATCGCAATACTATTTTAATATCTTTTAAAATGTAATTTATTTCTGTGATGGAAAACCTGAATGTTCAGCAGTCATTACTCCAGTCTTCAGTGTCACATGATCCATTAGAACTCATTCTAATATGCTGATTTGCTGCTCAAGAAACATATCAATTTAAATTCAATTAAGATGAAAAAAATAGTTAAAAAACAGCATTTATTTAAATCTTACTAAAAAAAAATCTTACTAACCCCAACCTTTTAAACAGTGTATGTTTGTAATATATATCCTTGTAAGCTTGTGTAAGGATGTTATTATTACTAAAATGGAATGACATGTTTTACGCATATTTTTAAAGCTTAAAAAAAAAAACAGCAGTCAATAACTAGTTGTAACATTTAAAATTTATGACAAAATAGTAGTATTGTGTGGCTATTGTGAGAGAAACACAAAATTCCAGTTAAGTTAAAAGGTTTTGGCTGCATATCTGAAAGGATAAAAGCAGTAAACTGCTTGAGAATAAAAATGACAAAATATAAAAACATTTGTTTTAATTACATTAAATATTTAGAATATAAAAATATCCTTAAAAGACAAAATATAAACTCTTGATAATACTATTGTTATCCGTCACTCTGGTTACAGGCTTTATTCAAGGCTGCCATGAGTTAGAGAAGAGGACTGACTTCTGTTGCCTGATCATACAGACATTATTATTTCTGTCTGAAAAGGACAATATGAGAGTCACAGCTGTTAGCAAATATCAACCCCATACACGACATTATCAGTATAGCCTGAATTGCTATACTTATCAATTAAATAATGCAGGTCTTAAAAACATGTGCTCCACCCACTACACTCAACTGAAATCAATCAAATTTGAAAAATGTTCTGCTCAGCAAACCAGTGCATTAATTATACCTTTCAAAGAAAGATGCTGATTGTTGGTCATTGAAATAATCCAGATTAAGCAAATTTGATTGCCAAGGGATATGCTGAACAAACGTAAATGCTTTAGCTGAATCTTCACACCAAAATTATCATTCATTCAATATTTTGAGGGTTTTATTTAATTTCACAAGCCAATTTAGAATTGTGCCAGTCTCACAGATTTGGTGGTCTTTTGGTCTGGTATTAGAGGAACAGTATTGGAACATTAACAATCATAAAAATTACTTCACCCCACATGCCCAATTTCCCTTCATACAAAGATCCAGAAACAACCACAAAACACCAAAGCAAGAAACACAAGTTCCTTTGTTCCCATGACCCCCTGCAACCCCAGTAGAACTGACTCTCCCAGTGACACCACATGAAACAGCCACATTCAGCTCTTTTACTCAATTTGATAGTCAAAAAATAGCCTTCAGACATGCTGTAGGCGTCAGACCAGTTTGGCCAAATGTGTGTTATTAGCTGCTGTCTGAGCGTGAGTGCATGAGGCTGTACACAGAGCAGAGGGAGGGAGAGGACAATGCAAAGACGTTTTCCTTCTGAGTGTTTTAGTGCATTAGTATGTTACCCCATGTTTTGGTTCAACGCAAAGCCCATGGACCAAACTGTAAACCCCACCTTTAAGCTACATCCGTATACCCAGAAGAGAAGCACATGGTATTGACAATGTGTAGATTAAGAACAGGATGTGTTTTAAGCTGTGGAAATCATCCTTAGAGCCAAAACCTAAACCCAAATCACTGACAACTAAGATCAAGAATGATGCTTAAAGCAGCAGTAACACGAATGACCATGCTGCTCATGTTGGCGAGTACAGGGCCCCTAATAGTTGACAGTTTTGAACTAGCTATCAGAAGGGCCAGGGAGAGAAGGAGCAGGGGAGCAGGGAAAGCCAGGAGGACAGGAGTGGCTCAAAGGGTTCGGGCAGGCTGGACTCCTCGATGCTTTGCATGCAGGCAATACCTGAATGTCGTAAACAGGTTTGGAAGAAGGAATGGCAGCAAATTGTCGGTAGTCAAACTTCTTTTCTGACAGGGACTAAAAGGACAGCAAACAGGCATAAGCAGTGGAGAGATGGAGAGAGAAAGAGGGGGGAAATCAATATTGTAAAAGAGAGATGGCAGGATGGAGGGAGGGAAGGAAAGAGATGTGTAAACGTACAAGAAGGAGAAACGACAACAAAGAAAAGAGATAAAGGAAAAGTTCATGGATGTTGCTCTATATGCTACAGACATGACTGTTAGAGTAAAGAATGACTTTATCATCGAAAGTAAAAAAAAGTGGAGTAGTCTCCCAAAACAACATAATCAACTAAATGAACAAACAAACAATTGTCTCATACCAGTCTGCCTGGTGAAGTCACTGCCCGTGGACTGATATCTGTTTAAGAAAAAAACAATGGATACATTTAACACAACTGACTTTTAAAAATGACCCCGTAACACACAACAGAGTATGAAAACAGAGCCCAGCATTGTTGTACTCTCTTTCAGAAAAGGTAAATGAGATCATCACCTTCCATTGGTGTTGGAGAGGGTGTGGGCGCAGGGGACGGTGACTCTGACAGCTGATCCAACGTGCCACGCTTCTTCCCCTCTTTAGACTTGGCAATGACCATCTGGGCCTTCAAAGCATCCTGCTCTAGAGACTTCATCCTGGAGAGAGAGGGAGATACAGTGAGACACAGAGAGTGATAGGAGAAATGCAAACAGGATGAGAAGTGAAAGATAAGCAGAGGTGCTGTGCACACTGATTGGTTAATACAGGAGAAGCTCATTTTGATGGAGGTGGTCAAAAAAAAATGCAGAAAACGTTATGAGAAGGAATCATACAAACTAGAGATGCACCTATTAGCTTTCATGCTGTAAAACAACCATGAAAGCTCAAGGGGGAAGAATACTATATAGGCATTATAGGACCACTGAGGTATCAACCACCAATGCACCATTAAAGGGATAATTCACCCAAAATTTAAAATTCAGTCATTATTTATTGAATTTGCATTTTTGGGTATTATCCTTCTAAAGTCGTATGACCTTCTTTCTTTTTCAGACACACAAATAAAATGTGCTTGTCTAAATAACGACGATGCAAAAAAGATGCAAAAGTATCACAGAATGATCCCATTAAACTTGTGACATATTTTCCAAGGTCATACAATAGAGTTTTGTAAAAAGACAAACCAAAATTTTATTTATAACTTCATGAAAACCTGACCTTGGCCATTGGTTTGATGTAGATGACGGCAGGTTTATAAGACCGAGCAGGGTGAGTAGGTGAGTAAATAATGACTACATTTTCATATTTGGATAAACTACTCATTTAAGCCAAGAACTTTAAGCTCTGCCAAACTTAGTTCTTAATCTGTTAGATTAGAGTTAGTTTCAGTATGGTGCACACAGTCCATTCACAGACTCATATTGCACACAAAAATGACTCAATCGTTCCAAAATCCCAAGCTCTAATCTTTAACCAGTGTGTTGCTTTTTCAGATTTAGCCAAACCTAAACATCACTTAAAAAGCTGTGTGATTGGTCGTTTTACCTTGCAATGTGGACCAAACAATGCTGAAATCTCTCACACATTTAAACTCAGTGAATATTGCTTAATTGAACACTGCCTACATGTGAAAAATGTCAAGTTTTAACACAGCTTCTATATGAAGGTAAGTAGGTGATTCTAATGTAAGTCTTGGTATAGACTATAATTAGTATCAGTGCACCTCTAATAAAAAAACAACTGCAAGCAACTTGAATAATGACAAAGAAAAACACTTATCAGGACAATACAAGACCTTTACTGGTACACAGATGGGAGGCAAAAGTGAGTGAGCAGAGAGGAGGGAGTGTGCTACCAAACTAAATAATAAATAAAATAGCACATGTGCAGAAGCAGTAGTGGGTCTTGTGGGACACGTTCATCGTTCAGAAAAAGCCACCACAACATTTTTCACCCTTTACACACTATGCACTATAAAATGTCCACAAGCACCAAGCACCCCAAGCGGTGTCAGGCATCACAGCTAAGCCCCCATGATGCTTTCTGGCTGTTAAGGGCAGACCTGGGCTGACAGGAAGAGGAGGAGCAGGAAGTGGGAGGGGCTGCACAGCTGCCTAGAGATGCCCTCACACGGGACTGGTAAAGCCGCTTAGCCAGGTCTTGCTCATACTGCCTTACGTCCTCCTCTAGACCACAAGGCCTTGGGAGCAGCAAGTAAGAAAGTAGAGAGGACAGAAGACGGTAACACACAAAGAAAAGGAAAGAGGAAAAAGACTACAGATGAAAGAAAACACTATGAAACGGACAGTAAAGTTTAAGAAGGGGAGGTCTACATTGAAACTCAGGGCCATCAAAGATGCACAACATGAGATGTGTATATAGAAATAAAATATATCTATTTCATGGATTCCTATACCCAAAGAATGTGAAAATGTCTTTGATAGCCCCGTTCATCAAGGGGAAGACATGAGAAACTGGGTAAGCATTTACTTAGAGCCTGGAGAAAAAGATGAGATTAAAATACCACAAGTGGACAGCTCTTCAGAGATCAGCGTTACAGAGGAAAGGATGAGACTGGAGAGAGAAACACATTTCCCATAACACATCATTCTCTCTCTGGCTGTTATACCTGGCTGCTCTCCACATGGCCCTCTTCTCTGCCTCCAGGGCTCGTTTTTCAGCAGGCGACAGCTCCTTGTCCAGGGCGACAGCAAGCTCTGGGCTCTGCATGCGTAATCGCTCTTGTTGCCTACGCTCTGCTTTGGCCGTCCGAATGGGAGCCACAGATTCACCGGGATAAACTGGGATCAAACTGTTAAGACAAACACTGGGTCAAGCAATTCAAATATCTTAAAAAAAATACAAAACTAGGTTTTAGCATTCCTCACCCCGTCATGGAGTTGGGTCTCTGTTCCAGTCTGAAGCTGTCTTCCATTGAATTCCGCTGAGAGTCTCCTTTACCGTCCACGGAGGAGGGACTGGATTGAAGAATGATAAATAAATACTTTTTACTATTTTATTATTATTACATGGTTTGATGAACCTTTCAAATGTTTGCGGTCAGAAAGATTTTTAAATAAATTAAATTTCTTTTTTTTTTTTAGCAAGGACAAAATAAATTGATCAAAAGTGACAGCAAAAACATTTATAATGTTACAAAAGATTTCTATTTCAAATAAATGCTGTCCTTTTGAACTTTCTATTCATCAGAGAATCCTGAAAAAGATGTTTCACATTTTCCACTAAATATTAAGCAGCACAACTGTTTTCAAAATTGATAAAAGGAAATGTTTCTTCAGAAGCAAATCAGCCAATCATATTAGAATGATTTCTGAAAGATCATGTGACACTGAAGACTGAAGTATTGGCTGCTGAAAATTCAGCTGTCACAGAAAAAAAAAAAAAAAAGCATTTTAAAACATAAAATTAAAAAGTCTTAATTTTACTATCTTTTCATTTTAATTATCTTTAACCAAATAAACGTCTTGTTTTTTAAAAGACTTCTTTTCAAAACATAAATTGTTCTGACCCCTCCCTTTTAAATGGTAGTCTATATTTATTTTATTAATCAAAGATATCAGAATGGGAGTTCTAGATGTTCAGAGTGTGTTCCGTAATCAAAACTTCAATGATAAAAAGCAAACAAACAAACAAAAAAAACCCCATTCCAAATGAAAAAAACTTTGCAACTTTGAAATACTAGCAAATGATTGAGCAAAAGTTGCTTACCCTGAGCTGCCACAGTGGGTGGGCGTTGTGGCACACTGCCTCAGAGATGGGGAACTGTGGCTTCCTAAGCTCTCAACCTTGTACTCCACACCATCAAGGACAACCTTTCCGTGAGCCTTCATATCTGCCACCTGCTTCGCCAGATCTTCCTCCTCATCCTCCTCATCTTCATCCAGCATATACTCTTGTGTCCTTTGTTCAATTCGCTTTGCTGAGAAAAGTCATTGACAAACAACTTAGCATGATTCAACAATCAACTCAAGTTACTGTAGCTTAGCATCAATGTTTGACAACTAAACAGACACAAACCTTCTTCCTCTTTCATTTTCTTCAAGTCATCTTCTCCCACAAGTGAGATGCGAGGTTTGGGTTTGTCTGGTGTCTGCTGCTTCACGTCAATCTCAAAATATTTCTGCCTGTCTCTGAAGGAGCGCTGCTCTGGGACATCTCTGCCAATAGAGGAGGGGGTCTGGGAGAGAGAGAGCGAGGATTCAGATTTCAGATCAGTTGTAAAGAACACTATACATGCAACCAAATTTTACATGCATCCGACATGCAAGAGCAAGTCCCATTAATTCTGAAATTCAGACAATGATTAAAACTTTGCACAAATACACCAAATCTTTGCCAATCCACCACCATGATGTAGTTATTACATAATGTGCTGCTACTGCAAAAAAGTTTCAATTTTCTGCTCTCCTAAAGCCTCTTCTCACCAATAATAATTGCTTTGATTCAGAACACGATCAATCTCGTTCCCATATTTTTCCACAACGCATGCTGCCAGGTGATCGGGCTTCTTGACATTGCAGACACACAATTTATTATGTTTCTTTGTTGCAGTTCGAATCGACACATACACCTGCACCACCACCACTCAAGTTTAGAGGAATCAAAGTGTCAGAGTGGTTTTGCTGGAAATCAGATGGGTACCTTCAACTCCACTGAGGGGCGAGACAAGCGTGGCACGGCTGCCAGGCTCCTGTACTCGTGGCGGTCAGATGAGAGGGAGGGATGAGGCCTGAGAGGACCACTGCCCTCAGCCTCATCCACAAACACCTCATTATTCAGCTCAGGCTGAAAGACCCATCATGTACAACATATCAACACCACACTTGCAAACAATATTGCGTTGTTCATTTGAGTTGTGGCGAGACAGTACAAACCAAATATGGGTTATGGGTCAGGCTCATACAGAAGTCATCATCATGTAGAAGAAATATTTGGAATACACTACACATCTTCTGAACAGATTTTCAAACACTATGTATCATACACTTTGAAATTTGAAAATGGTTACAGTGGAAAAACGGCTCATCATACACTAAATGATATAGGATCAGAATACCAAACTTTTAAATAATTCTGAACACAATAAACTCACACAGAAACACGTGATTTGTTGCTAGGAGACGCATGACAGATAAAAACAATGTGTTCTAAATTTGGCTCAAAATATCAAACATGTTTAAAATCTTCAGACTAAACAGAACACAAGAAGTCACAATCTGCAGACTGACTTTTGGCAACAAGCATTGATTGGTCCAGACTAAACAAAAATTGTGTAGTGTATTCCAGCTTTAAAGGGGTCCTATTATGCTCTTTTTCAAAGTCTTGATTTTGTTTTGGGGGTGTACTAGAACAGGCTCTCATACTAGGTTGTTCGAAAAACACATTATTTTTTCACATATTTTACATTACAACACCTCTCTCCCCAGTCTGGCATGAACGGCTCGAATAGTTCCTGTATCAAATGAAGCCCCGCCGTCTGAAATACGAAATGTGCTGTGATTGGTTAGCTGGGCCAGTGTGTGTTGTGATTGGCAGCACTCGGCGCCTGCTCGGGAAATGTCATGCCCCTTACCATAGCTACCTGCGAGATTCAGTGTAAATATTGCGGCAAAATCAAATCAATTTGAGCGCGATTTAAACCCGGATGATTGTAACCTCTCTAAGTTCGTCTGCCTTGGGAAAGCTAGCGTGTCTCCGACATAGTGATAACACTCGTTGCCTTCTCTAGTGCAGCTCAACCAGGTCTCGTCCCATTCGTCGATATTTGTGATATCACAAATCCCGGGAAAATATGCGTTGTAGTCCAAACGAGTCGTTCGTTGTAGTTTTTGAAAAGAGTGATTACTGTTAAATAAAATATCTCCTTTTGAAGTGGACTTTGAACTTTGGAGATCTTTTTTATGCTCAAACAGCAACATTACAGACTAACTGGAGTAGAAAAAGTGAAAAAGCATAATAGGACCCCTTTAAAATAACACTTAACACAAATGAAGATGACATACCTCTGGTGATGGTTGCTTTGGGCTGAAATTGTTCCGTGGAGAGTAAAGATCCTAACAAATGAGAGTGAAAAGGAAAGATGATTCAGTAAAGACACTTAAAACAAAAAAAGCCACGCACACAAGACTTGAGTTGGACGAGAGGAAACACTTTACACACCGCTAGGAGTCAAACATCAAATCAAGAAACATTAAACAATCAAGTGACATATGAATGACGCACATTAGTGTCCCTGTGAGATGAACTCCTGGATTCGACACCACCATATGAGTGACTCATGCACAAAAACAAACTCCCAAAGGAACAAAATGTCCAACGGGAAGACCAAGCACTGGATGACGGGGGAACCACGACATGCTCACAACCTTGATGAGGATTTGTCCTACCTGTGGGGGTTCCAGTACAGCCAGGGAGTGTGGCACAGCTGCGAAGGCCTTATATACCTGCTTGATATTGATGGGGTATTCCTCATGTGTGTCAGGGGATGGGGCACGAGGCTGTACGAGGGGTCGGGGGTTGAGGACGGGGGGGTGGAAGGGTAGAGAAACAGACAGAGGACAAAAAGGATGGAACAGCTAATGAGAGACAGAGCAGCAAAGGCAGAGCACAGGAGGAAAATGCAGGGCTAGACCGCATGCAGCTCGCGATCGGGATCATGCCAATGAAAGGATGGAGGGAGAGAGTTTGACAGTATGAGGGAGGTCTGTGGTTATGGTGACTGGGGAAAATGGCTCTGGACGATATTTTGGTTTACACTGGTATCCTGAGATAACGTGAGTGTAAACCTTGCTGTGCAAACAATGTGGTTTATGTGATTAGAGGAAGAAAAAAAAATCCAAAAGAGGTGTCTTGATAGAAAACGGGCACAATGTTACTTGCAGTGAGAAGTTGATAAGTCTGTGTTTTCCAAAACAACCCGTTTCTTTGACCTGGATTATGTTGTGACTGTTTGTAAGGCTTAACAGGCACAATGCTAATCACACCTTGAAATGTATATGGACAAAATAAAACAACAGTCACATTCTGTTGGCCTTAAGGCACTGGTAACTGAGGATGAAAGGGGGCCTCATTAGGGTTCAGACAGTGGTGAGGGATCTTACAGTGGTCTGAGAGCTGATGGGAGAGAGGCCATGCTGGAAAGGGTTGGGACTGCTGTGGCCATCCTGACTGGCTGGAGATACAGCGGGTCGCCCCCGAGAGAGAGGCTGGATGGCACCAGGTTTAGTCTAGAAAGAGAGAAAAACTTAATTGACAATAAATCCAACAATCAACAACAAATTATACAGTATTTCCAAGTTGACCATAATATGGCTATTAGTGTCATTCACATCAATATTACCATGAACTTGCTCTAGTATAATTTACAAATTATCTGCATATTGAACACTCACTGATGTATTATCCTTAGTGTTTGCATTTGAAGGGAAATTAATGTTTGACTGAAAGAAAAAAAGACAAATATGAACATGATATAAAATTAAGTGGAAGAAAGAACATTTTTACACATGGGATTGGCTTTCTGAAAGCCCATGAATTTACACATGGGATTGGCTTTCTGAAATCCCATGAACTTGGGCTCACATTAAATTATATTATTGTTCAAAAGCTAGGGGTTAGTACGATTTATCAAAAGAAATTAATAATTTTATTCAGCAAGGACGTACTAAATTGATGAAAAGTTACAGTAAAGACTGTCATTTTAGTTGAACTTTCTATTCGTCAAAGAATCCTGGAAAAAAAAGTATCAGTTTCCGCAAAAAATATTTACAATTATGATTTCTGAAGGATCATGTGACACTGAAGACTGGAATAATGGCTGGTGAAAATTCTATTAATTCTATTCAATTAATGTTAAATTGTTATAATGTTTCACAATACTACAGATTTTTCAGCATTCTTGATCAAACAAATGCAGCCTTGGTGAGCATACGAGACCTCTTTCAAATACATAAAAAAAAAAACACTTTTGAACGGTAACGTATATTGTGTTATATTTACTACATATCATGATTGACAAGGCCTTAATACACAGTGTTAATCTACCAAGCTGTAGTTACACGCTCAATTGCTTGGTTTGGTGGAAATGCTAAATAAGAGTCAGAGAGCATGAAAAGCAGGACATGCTCAGAGTTACACAGGCCCGTAAACCATTCGTCTCTTAACATCTAATGCAAAGCCAAGTGCAACTAGTGCAGGCCATACAAGGGCTAGTCAGCCCACTTACATATCGAACTTCCCTTCCAAGCACTGCAGAGGAATATTTGGGGGACTGCAGAGAAATATGGAAATGTCATGACGAGGGGCGGAATGAAAGCACATAGGCCATCAACCAGAACACTACCCGAATGAACATGTAAACTAGGCCTGACTTTGACCATGCAAAACACCTGCATAAATCTGTAAGCCTTATCCATGGAAAATGTTTGACAGTCGCATGAAAACAAATGAGAAAAGAAAGGGATGATGATGAAAAGGGAGTGAATACGCTCTGAAATGTTACTGACCAGTGAGTTGTGTGGAGAGTATGCAGCATCTCGGACAGGACTGTCAATCCTGTGAGGCTCAGACGGTGAAGACTGAAATGCAAATAAAAGGAACATCCATCATGCTTGAGGTCAGTGAAGTATTGCACAAAGCAAGCAACAAGCAAAATTTGCCAAATTACAAAGTAGTGCATTAACAATAAATGATCATGTGCAGTTTTATAAAAGCAGTTCATCTTGATTTGATAACATTAATAGCAAACCATAAACAACTGCCTTAAGCAGGTTTTAATATGCTTGCACATTGCAGTTCTATTTCTTGCTCTTACAACATGCTTGATGACAAATTTGTTGTATTCCGTGCCACAGATCATTTGTAACCAAGCAGTGGTGAACTGAAAATGCATTTTTTAAAACTGTCAAGAACAATGTCATGCTACAGAAAATGTCAATGTCATTAACGTTTCTTTAAAGACCATAGTGTTTCATATTCCTGTAAATGGTTGGTGGCTAGCCTGTATCTAAGGTGAGAGGCCTTAACCCTTCACCCTTTTTGTTCAGCACCCCTTTGACTTCACATTTAAAGCATTCTTAGTCTCTCTGAGAATGTTCAAATGCCTCAAGAACATAAGGTTACACACATTACAGGGTCCCATTCTTGTTTCTGCTTCGTTTTCTGCTTCACCTATTTTCAAAATATAGAAAATTTATATATAGACATGAACATTTCTCTGAAGCAATTTTACAACCTAAGGATGCGTTCAAAGACATCTGTAAATCAAAAGCAGCTATCAGTAGAAACCTTTGGATGGCATTTGCGATTGAAGTGGTATGTTTACTCTAAATAGCTACTGATGACACACCATGCTTGACCAGAAAACACACTCAGTCAGAAAACACACTCCTCAAGGCTGCTTGCCTTGTACAACCAGGGCTGCAGCTGCCCATGCCTGCCATAGCCCACAGGTGGCCCTGATAAAATGCGCTCCTCAGGAGGGCAGCCTTTGCTCTTGCGATTAGCCACAAGGAAGGGATTTTCACTAAAGCAGATTGGCTGGGAGTCCACAAGACATTCTTCTTCCTCATTAGCTTCTTGTGGGACTCCTAGAGCTGGGATGCGTTCCCGTGTGTCGGCTTGGGGCTGTTTTGAAGCCGTTGAACTTGCAGCTGAGCAGACTGGAGACGAAGGGAGGGCAACGGGTTCTACATGGTACATAGAAGCATGGACTTTCTCAAAACCCAGGGGGTCTACAGGGTCGGCTGGCACGGCAGCCTCCATTGTGAAGAATGTAGCAAAGGAGGGAGAAAACTGAGGAATGAGAGCGAGAATACGATCGACAGAGACAAAAGGGAGAAATAATGTGAGAAGGAAACCAAAACAAATGAAAGAGCAGAGCAATTAATGATACACAAACGGGGGAAGAAAATGACATGCATCACATAAAAAATTTGAACACAGCAAATGTAAAAGCAAGGAAAGGAAAAGCTGTAAAGGGTGAAACAGATGGGTTTAGTCTGGCAGAGTTGGAAGGAATAACAGCCATGCTAAAGTTACAATCATCAACTAGTCACGCCGATTCAGATGAGTGAAGAGCTAAATACAGCTCTCCCATCATCCTGAGACATCTCACAGTAGACAGTCACTCAATCAGAACACCTTCTGCACTTAATCTGCTGTGTCTGCTATAATATAGACTTCAGACTTGATAGAGTCTGTGTCAAACAGATTTGGCTCAATTATGTCTAAATTTAAAGAAACTGAATGAGAAAATTATATAATTTTAAATGAGCTTTAATATTTTCAGTTTTAATTTAGATTTTTGTTTTAGTAATTTTGGGCTTGTCAAGTTTTTTTAAAATATATTTTTATTTCAATATTATATTTTTATTTCAGGTTTAGTTTTAGAAATGTAAGTACTTACATTTATTTCAGTTAGTTGCCAAAGCAACATTTCTTTCTTGATTCAAGTTTTCAATCTAATATTTTTATATATTATTTCAGCTTTATTAAAATAACTGAAAGTTATTTTTAATAGTTTTAGTTAACAATAACAACAATCATTCAGCGTTGATATAGTTACTACACTTTGCCTTTGTAGGGACTAGGGAGGTATTTACAATTAAAGGGGTCAAATGATTCTATTTTTCCTTTTCTTTAGTGTGTTATGTTATAAGATCGGCAGAGTTACAAAGGTCAAAGTCTCCCACAAAAGGATTTATTCTATCTAAAAGAGAAGGCTGATCCAGACCGGGCTAAAACGCCTCATTCAAACACGCCCCCACATCTCTATGTCAAGATGTGGAAATATTTGCGTAATGCCGCCCAAATGTTCATGCTAAGAAAGAAGGCGTGGTTTCAGGAACCGCAGTAGTGTTGATTCAGCCATGTCAGGGAGACGCTGTGTGATTCAGTGCGAAAGCAAAAGCACTTTATTTGGCCTTCCGGAAGCAGATGCAATTAGGAATCATTGGTTAAGATTTATTTACAACAGAACAGCACAACCCAGATGTTCGAATTTGTGCAACGCATTTTATGGATGACAGTTTTGAGAACCAAGGAGAATAACCTACAAGGCTGGCTGTGCAAAGGCAATATAAAAAAAAAAAAAAAGGGGTAAATTCCGACTTTGCTATGACAATCTGGCGCTTATTCTGAATCAGCTACTGTAAGTATGTTTTCTTAATAGCTGGAAGTATTTGCTATTGACTGTTCAAATGCGGAGTTTTGCGCCGTGGTGGGTGTGCGTGAGAGAGAGACAGTGTCACATCACAGTGGAGCCAGCTTTCTTAATCGCGGCTTGTGTATTGCAAATACATACGAGCATCATCACTGTGTCTGTCATGCGACTCTGTTCCACTTTCGGGCTACAACTGATGGTAAAACTAAGGACATTATTTACCGTCTTTACATTTATGTTGAAAGCTGAAGCTCGCGATTATGGTAAGGGGCGTTAAATTTCCGACGCGTGCTTGTGGTGTTCGGTCAATCACAATGCACTGGGTCAGCTGGCCAATCAGAGCAGACTGCGCTTGTTGGAAGGAGGGGCTTTGCAGAAAACTATGCGTTTGAGAGAGGCGGGGCATAGAGGACCTACAATAATGTACAGTATTTGATTTTTTTTTTGAACATTAAAGCATGTTAACATATTCTGTTACACCAAATACACAAAATAATGATCTTTAAAATAGCATCATATGACCCCTTTAAAAAAACCTATTGAACATTATGAACAACCATGAATGCTTGCTTTATACACAACCAAAAAAAAACTGTAATAAGTAGTTCTTAGACATTTACTTAACTGTTATTACTATTAAATATGCACCTTTACAAAGTATTATGAAACTATACTCTGGATTCTCATCACAGAAAAGCAAAACAAAAAAACTATTCAAATGTGGCTTCACAAACAGGTCCAATTGGTGGCACATAGTGATGCTTAAGATGTGGCTGTCGTATACAACTAATGGCCTCATACTGATAAAAGCTTCATTCGGTGACTCTTGTGCAGATAAAAGACACTGCTCTACAAAATAGCATCTATAAATAGCCGTGACTAAACTGTACTTCATATACCACAAAATCACATGAGGGAGAAAACAGTGCGCTAGTGTTTCCCTTTCTAAGCGCAGTCCACCCCCTCTCCATTCCTCACTTGACTTGCTAACAGCTGCTAGTGCTATGGAGGTTAAACATTCCTAGAAGAGAGACATAGGCTAAAAATGCTCACAAAGGGACAAGCAATATCTTGTAATTTGTAAAAACAAATTACAAAGCTCAAATTACATCTGTTACATTATATAACGTTATATCACTGAAGGCAATAAATTATTGTATGAGGGATGTTTGTGTGCAATCAGCATAATACAATTTACAGACTGTTAATAACTACTAACATTCAACACCCAACAACACATAGATTTTGCTATTATTTCAGTACTAAAATTCTAAATAAAGTGTAACAGATTTCACACAAAGAAAAAATATTAAGGAAAAGAAAAGAGAGAAAAAGTAGCCATAGAAGTCAAGAAGGAATGAGACTAAGAGTTGTAGAATAATAGCAGTGGTACACTTACAGTAAGATGACAGAAGCAGATATCAAGCGGCTCGACTCTAGATAACTTAACTGTCATGATCTTCCAAGGGTCCCTTCATCCTCAAAGGCCACACCCATCCATTAAACCATTCAGCCAATCAGCTCACTGCACAAATTTTAAAATAACTTGAGCTACTTTCAGCTGTCGTCCCCCCCAACCCCCCCCCCCCCGAGGTTGTCAGGGGTATGGCTGGAATGAGATGAAACCCTGGTGCTACTGAAGACTAAGCCAGCAGCTGGACTGCTTTATCTTTGGCACTACTAGTAAAAGGAGCACTACTGGACAAACGTATAACTTGACCTGATAAGGTTTTAGAAGACCAACACTAATTGACCAATATGCTAAGCATTCAAAAGCAAGTAAGGAAACATATTTGTAAGTTAAGTTTTGACCATATTTTTCCAGCAAAATCAGCACTGAAAATGAAAAAAAATCCACAGATTCCTAATGGTTATGATAAATGTATCTGTAATTCCACCAATCTGTTCGGACAACATTTTCTATAATCTCAGTTTCCATCAGTAGCCTACGTCAGATCATTTATTGTCTTGTGAAGCGTTAGGAATGGGCCTACAGTAGAGATGCACCGATACCACTTTTTCCAGAACCAGTTTGATACCGATACTTTAATTTTTGGTACTTGCCGATACCGAGTACCGATACCTGTAGTTTCAATGCATTTTTCATTTTCACAAACATTGGGTACAGAAACCAAAAGAATATGAATCATGTAAGTCGGCTTCCTTTAATAAATAGGTATTTCCTTCAGGTTTTTTCACACTTAATTATGCCTGTTAAAATGTATAAAATTTATGCAGGCGTGAATATTGAATGTTTACATCATATTAATTACATACTGTACATGTACTTCTTGTTCTTAATCTCTAATAACTCCATCCTGCTCTCAGTTTGTTCTATTGTCTGTGTTCCTTTGTCTGGACACAGCACTGTTCATACGCTGTGTGGTATTGGTTTTGATATCAGAGCATTTTAATGAGTACGAGTACAGGAGCTCAGTATCAGGGCCGACACCAGTATCGGTGCATCCCTAGTCTACAGTGACCTTGCATCAGTAACAAAGGCTCATCTTATTGACTTGCAGCAGCCAGGGGGTATGTGCACCAAAGAAGCATCTGTTAGGAATTTCTTACCTGGCTTTTATGTCCAAACAAGTCATTCGAATGTTTTGTTTTTAGATGCTTTCTTGCCCATTTATTAAAACTAGTTTTTACATGTAGGTACTTACTCTATTAACTTTCTGTAGGCTAGTGGTAGGAAGAGCAGCCAGTGTCTTGTAGTCCAGTTTCAATGGTCCAGTGCTCAAATTCTGTAGATGGAGGGTTAGAAAGAGTATAATGAATGATCAGTGTTCATTGAAAGAACATGTTCAAAAATCTTCTAAACATTATTTAGATATTTCATTAAGTTTTAAGCATGAGGACACTGGATCTAAAGATCTTCTAGCGCTCAGAGGTTCAGATATGACTCATTTGTTCATGTTCAAGGTGATGGCTGGTCCCATGTTTTGCTCCTGAAGCCCTACTATGGGCTGTAAAGACAGGGAGGGCTTAAGGCCTCACCTCAGTTTCCTCCACCAGCAAACGAGTTGCCTCCTCGCGCTCCAAGCGCATACGCTCCTTTACCAAAAGAGGGAAGGTAAGGAGGGGGTGGGGAAATGAAGTTTACCCAATCACACACATACACGGACACACATTATGCCCACACAAATATAGACACACATACACACATTCCGAAGGCATCCATCGCACAGATGGGAATGAGGTTTAGGTGATGCAAAATCGTGGATGAACAATAAAACCAGGTGACCATGAAGACATAAGAACATATGATGACATAACGAAAGAGATGAATAGAACGAGCAGAAACAAAATGTGATGTTTGGAATGAGCAGCACCCAAGATCATTCAGAAGGGTTTGGGGGGAAAGAGGGGCAGATAAGAGAAAGAAAAGGACAGATCCACATATATTAGTTGTAGTTATAGGGGAGATTTGGAAGTGGTCATCATTTTGATAGCATATTCTTATAATAATAATAATAATAATAATAATCTGTTATAAGAAAGGCGTTTAGGGGAAGGGAAATCACTCACCACTTTTTCCATCTCCTCCCGTTCCCACTGGGACGTCTCCCTCACCATCTCTACCTCCTGCAGGAAAGGTCAGACAGACAGATGTTATTTTTCCCATCCACTCCTCTGCTGCTCCTGCTCTGTGTGATGCATAGAGCTCACCTTCTGCATGATGTCAATCTCTTCAGGACTCAGGTCTCTGTCTACTGATGAGATGCTCTCCATACTGTTCTTACGAACAATACCTGCCGCAAACGGGTTCGCAATAACACCAGGGGATGCCTGAAAGAAATCAAATCAACAAATTTATGTAGTAGTAAATACATGGATATCAGAATGCTTTCTAAGGGATCAAGTGACACTGAAGACTGGAATATAATGGCTGCTTTAAATTCACAATATTACTGTTTTTACTGTAATTTTAATCAAATAAATGTAGTCTTGCTGACCACAAGAGGTGCCTTTCAAAAACATAAAAGAGATCTTAATTATTTCAAACATTGACTGATAGTGTCAATGCATATTTTATTTTATTTATTATAATTTAAGTCACAGTTGGACACTAGAGCTAGGTCTTTACCTCTATGCCTGCAGCGTTTCTTGGGTCAAAGCCATCACACACAAGCATGACCAAGGAGTCACCGGCAGCACGCAAGACCCTCACTGCTTCCGTGTGTGTCATACCCAGCAGACTGTTGTTGCCCACCTCAAGAACACGCATGCCCACCCGCAGTCGGCCATCTCGTGCAGCAGCACCGCTGGAGCTCACCTATAGAATCAAGTGAGTAAAAAAAACAGGAAGTAGTGTTTTGAGGAAGTAGGCAAGTCGTCCAGTACTTTTGATGTTATCAGAATCATGCAGGGTTTGAATCTTCTATCATGGTTTTGGTTACCTTGGAAATGAAGATGCCCTCATCTGTGGGGTCAAAGGGGTTGCCTGCATGGCCTTTAGCTCCTCCCCTGATGCTGATGCCCAGCTTTTCTCCAGGCTGCTTGTGGATGACAATCTCCTACAAAAACACAGGGATGTTTTAGAGAGTATGCAAGATTGTACTGGTCTCATTAGGAGTTTCAAAAGTTTTTGAGATTTTTACCAAAATTAGTACAAGTATTAGTATGAGTGCCTTTCACATTCCAGGCCATTTTGGCAGATTTTCAGGAAAAGCCCAAATCTGATATTTATTAGATCTGACTGAGCCAGGAGAACTTCACAGACCCGGTGACAACCGGCCATACTTCAGGGTTTTGCGTACACTTCTCCTCTACTAATGAATGTGTGTATACCTGCATGCCAGGGGGCGAGGGATCTCTGCGCACAAGCATGCGGATATCCTGCTTGTTGGATAGCAGGGCTCTAACAGCTTCCTGATGTGTGGCATGTCTTAGGTCGATGGCGTTCACCTCCAATATACGATCGCCCACGCGAAGTCCACTCTCAGAGGCCAAGCCATTGGGGATGACCTACCCAGAAAAAATAAGGTCAGAAATCAATTCTGACAAAAGCTTCACTGACCACAAATCATGCCATTCATTTTTGACATAAACGTGCATCATACTACATAATTTACTTTACCTTTGAGATGAACACCCCAGGCTCATTAATTCCAAAAGGGTGGCTGGCATGGTCGCTACCCCCTACAATGCTCAGACCCAAGGGACCACCTGCTTTGATCAGGGTCACTTCCTGTCCAGACAGGAAATTCAGATGTATGAAAAAGGAGAACTGAGTTTGCAGTAGGTCTGATAAATGCAGAGATAAATACTCTTTGAAATTAATCAATAACTATGAATGAGAGTTATTTTTTATTTACATTACCATTCAAAATTTTGCGATTGGTAAGACTTTTTTGTTTGTTTTGTTTTGTAATGAAAAGAAGTCTCTAATGCTCACCAAGGCTGCATTTATTTGATTAAAAATACAGCAGAAAGACAACAGCAATGTTATGAAATATTAATACATATTAAAATAACTGATTTTTTAAAAATAAATTTTATAATGTAATTTAATCCTGTGACAGCAAAGCTGAATTTTCAAATCATTGGTGCTCAAAAATATTTCTTAATATTTCTTATATATACTGTATATATATATATATGTGTGTGTGTGTGTGTGTGTATGTATGTGTATATATATGAGACTTACTGACCCCAAACTTTTGAATGGTAACAAATACAAGGAAAATGAATGTTCAGTTATTTGTAATGGAGACGCATCTTCTAGGCAAGTCTACACAACTACATCAAGTGGGCACAAATAAAAATATCAAGGGAACATTAACTAAATGCAAGAGCAATAGAGAAAATTTTAAAAGGCCAAATCACAATCCTCCTAACACCATTTTCTCTGTTGAGTGAGGCATTAAAACAGGAAAATGAAGCTGTTATGAGATTAAACTGATAAAAAGCGCTTTAAATGCTGCTTACTGTACTTTTAAATATTTCCTCAAATAGGGAGAAACACACACACACTCTCTCCCTGCAGGTTCAATGTCATACCATTAGTTTCAGCTCTCACCTCAATGGGGTATTCATCTTCCATGGGGCAGTTGAGATGGTTTCCAAGATGCTCATCTCCTTCCTCTTGCTCAGGTGAGTCAGATGGCTCTGGAGGAGGGGGCGAATGAGGTCGAGTTCGAGGGGAGGCACCCCCTGCACTGGCCTGGTCCCGTTCGACCAGGAGGGTGATGGTGGGGGAAGTGCCGGTAAGCAGCGCTACTGCCTGGTCATGTCTGGCCTCTGTCATGTCTACACCATTGATCTGGAGTGACAGCCAAACACCAGTGGGTCAGAGAGGGCCAATATGCCCTCATGCTGAGCTTGTGACATCTTACGGGCTTTTCATTGCTGTAAGTAGCATTTCATTTAGCTGGGTTTTCAAGGAACACTACAGTCCAGGTGTTAGTTATGAGAAAAACGTTCCTGGTACAGAACTGATCTGGATCATGTGACAGCTAATGCTGAGCCCTCTCATGCATTCAAAGGGAAAGTGATTTCCACTTCACCTACATACTTGGTTTTAAAAACCTGGGTTATCAGTGAAAAATCATGCATCAAATAAAATGTTGAGACACATTTGACCAGGGAAGTGAAAAGAGAAGGGAATGTGCAATAGGAGAAAGAGGAAGTGCTGGAGATGCTTTAGGTAGCAAGATCACGTAGTGTGTTAGAAAAAGTATAAAAACAGCAGCCTCTAGAAAACCATGCCCAAACTCTACTACAGCTTGTCATATTTAAAGGGGTCATATGATGTTGCTAAAAAGAACATTATTTTGTGTATTTGGTGTAATGTAATGCGTTTATGCGGTTTAAGGTTCAAAAAATTTTCCACATATTGTACATTATTGTTGCTCCTCTATGCCCCGCCTTTCTGAAATGAGTCGATTTTTACAAAGCTCATTGGTCTGAAAAGCGAGGTGTGCTCTGATTGGCCAGCTATCTAGTGCGTTGTGATTGGCCAAATACCTCAAGTGTGTGACGGAAATGTTAACGCCCCTTACCATACTGTGATGCTGTGTCCCAGCCGGAGTGACGAGACAAAAACATTAAAACCCATTATAAACGAGGCATTTGTTGCATCCAGTGGGGACATAATTACTGATTATAAAGACGTATACGGTCTTTTTACGCGTTGCGTTGCGTATCGCGCCGCGTAAACATAAAACCATGTCTGCATTTGTGATCGGAGAAACGACAAACAACAAGCGCTACTCTACACTGCTCAAAACTCGCATTTGAATCGTCAGTGGCAAATTCTTTAAATATGAAAACGTACTTACAGTCTGTGAGTCAGATGCGCCAGACTGTTTTTGCAAAGTTGGAATTGCCCCACTTTATAGAAACAACCTTTGTGCACAGCATTGTAGGCTACTCTCCCAGGTTCAGGAAACAGTCCTCCGTAAAATGCGCTGCACACATCTGAATATTTGGGTTGAACTGTTCTGGAACAGTAGGGCTGCACGATAAATCGAAATGGAATCGAGATCGCGATTCGACAGAAGCTGCGATTGTCATGTGTATCTTTCAGTGAAGCACGGTTCTGTGATCAGCAGTAAATCTCCATCCAAAAGCCAGAGGGCGCTCTCGCGCTGAAACTCTAAATACGCCTCGCAGAAGAAACCCAGGAAATCGCTGCAGCTGAATAAACAGAAGATTCAACTGCTTTCATTGATTCAACGTGACTAATAAACACACGACTACGGCAATATACGGTTTATCGGAGTTCTTATTATTAATTTTCATTAAAATAAAGTATATTTATAATGCAATGCCTTTATCACTGCTTAAATAATATGAAATATGTTGCGTGCCTTATTCTGTGTAAGAAGCCACATCATCTCACAGAAGGATTTATTTCAAACACTCGACTGACATTATGAAGTGAGTTTGGAGTAAATATATGTTATTAAATGTGGTATTTTCACATGCTTTCAGATGGAGCAGCATTTACTTCACAGAGCCGTAGTTCACTGAGAAGCTATGCAAACAGCTGTCATTATCAAGAACGATTTCTTCGATTTCATAATCGCGCAATAAAATCGTCTGCGATTTTTTTGTGTAACTTGTCAGTGACCTACGGCTATGTGTAGTAAATTCTGCTCCATCTGAAAGCACGTGATGATGATTTCCTGCTGATTACAGAACCGGCATTACTATCAAAATGCGCATGACAATCGCATTCGATTAATTGTGCAGCCCTATGGAACAGTGTTGTAAATACAACTTAACCACTGATTTCTCGTTGTGTCCTCTTTTGGAAGGCTAAACAAAGAAGTTTCGCTTTCACAATGAAACACAGCGTCTCACAGCTTTCTTTGCATGAACATTTGGGCGGTGTTATGCAAATCTTCCCACACAGCGAAGTAGACATGTGGGGGCGTGTTTAAACGAGGCGTTTTAGGAGGGCGTGGACCAGTCTTAACTTTTATAAAGAATATCTCTTTAGGTTTGAGACTTTAGTCTTTGCAACTTTAGGGATCTTATCTTTTCACGAACAGCTTTTAACACTCCAAAGAGAAAGGAAAACTTGAAATTGCATTATATGACCCCTTTAAATGTATTCCAGATATATCTCATGTACCTTGATTAGAGGACCTAGCACTCATAAAAACTGAGCTTAGTCCAAGACAAATTACAATTATAAAATGCACTTTAAAAGTTCTATTACAGCTGTACTAGAGCAATACAACACCTTATAAAAATGCCATGTAAACACTTTAGTCTCACTGAAATAGTATCAGCATCTTAACATGTTAATCAAATTACAAAAGGCGTCGAGATTATGCCCTGGCTCTAAAAGACAGTTTACATGCAATCTGCATTTAATCCTTCAAATATTTGATTATTCATCATGTCATCTATACCTGGACAAATAGAGACTGTAACCTGACTACATAAAACCTGCCAGAACTCCATTGTAACTTTGTATATAAAAGTACTAACTGATTCATCACATTAGCCTTAAATACTACCCTTTAATTATGATCTGGCTCATGTCTTGAACACGAGGTGTTGAAACTGTGGCCTAATGCTACTGCATTTTCACAAAAACTGCATAACATTTGAGATTCTCTTAACAAAGCCAAAGGATGTTGCCTAACCTGTCCTGCTTCCCATCTGAGGGAAGACTATTCTTGATTTCTGGTTACTTTGTTTAGCAGTAAGAAGTTCCACCATGGTGACAAACAGAGGTCAGCACTGACCATTCAGTACCGGCGCTTACCACAGGGTGACAGAACGGCAGCTGCTATGGTAATGCATGCAGTTACCATGACAGCATGCCCACAGAACAAGTCAAAAACCTCCCATCACCACACCCAACACCAAGCAGGCAAGAAGTGTGTTAGTGAAAACCCATGCAAGGACAGAGGGAGAAGCAGCAAAATCTTGAAATAAAGAGAAGGCTCCAGGGAGACAAAACAGTTGGGATTATAATTGTTATAATGCGGAGTTATAATACAAGCAAGTTCACTAGGAGAGAAGTTCACAATTACACACTGACATCATTTCATGGTGCAAAGCAGAAAGGTTATTAAGTGCAGCAGCACAGTAAAATAGCAGAAGACTATTTTGCTGCACTCTGCAAAGTGTAGGGACACATTGAACCGATGCCAAAGAACTAGCGCTGAGGAAAGCTGACTGTTGAGTTGCGAGGGAAGTCGGGGCCTAATGGTTAGAGAGGCGGACTCGTAACCCAAAGGTTGCGGGTTTGAGTCTCGTACCGGCAGGGATTGTAGGTGGGGGGAGTGAATGTACAGCGCTCTCTCCCACCTTCAATACCACGACTGAGGTGCCCTTGAGCAAGGCACCGAACCCCCAACTGCTCCCCGGGCGCCGCAGCATAAATGGCTGCCCACTTCTCCGGGTGTGTGTTCACGGTGTGTGTGTTCACTGCTGTGTGTGTGCACTTTGGATGGGTTAAATGCAGAGCACTAATTCGGAGTATGGGTCACCATACTTGGCCACATGTCACGTCAGGTTTTTTTTTTTTTTTTTGTTGCATCGCCTGCATTGGGGCAAAAAAGTTGCACTAGAACACATTGGACAGACCACAGCCAACGGCCAACTAGCATTGTACGCTCTGCGCCTGCGTGAGAGAACATAACTCTACCATACCAGGAGGCATCCGACTACAGCCAACGGTACGGAACACACCGAAAAAACTAAAGTGACCGATGCTCAAAAACCACCCTACATTGCCCGACGGCTGACTGTCAGCTTGGGGTGTCCCAGGCTTAAAACTAACTCACCCATGCAGTGAGCTGGATATTAATGGCTAAATATTATTAGGTTTCTCACAATGCACAGTGACTTTATCAGATCTAATACCCAGGGGGGAAAAATTATTATTAAAGGTATAGCTGACACACAAATGTAAATGTTATTATTTACTCACACCCACACCTGTATGACTTTATTTTGTAGAACACAAAATTAAACGTGTCAATGTTCATGGTATTTTTTTTTCCTGATAATGAAAGAGAATGGTGTCTGTTAAACTCTAAAAGGGACAGTTTGTGTGCTAAATTCGGAAACCATACAATAGCTTTGTGAGAAGAACAGACTGAAATCAAGTCATATTCATGCTCGTATACAGATCTAGTGCATCACAATTAGTTATGAGACCCAAAAACCTATGATTTTTGGGATCATTATGGTTAAACCTGCTACGACATGTCTCTATGTGCCACATTTTAATATACAGGAATATGAAAGATTTGAGAGCCGTGTCAATGAGTCTCTCTCTCACTAAGCTATCATATAGTTTCAGAAGATTTAGAAAGTAGTCCAAGATTGTATGGATTTCTTTCATGGCACTGTTTGACATTTTTGGAGCTTGACAGACCCTGGTAACTATTCATGTTTTGTATGGAAAACAAGTTGTCAAAAATGTGCTAAATGTCTCCTTTTGCGTTCCAAGGAACAAATTCTGACAGATTTTTTAAATGTCATGAAGGTGAGAAAATGATAACATAACTATCCTTTTAACCCTAAATTAAGTTAACTACATTAACTAGAGAGAGACTGTATGAGAGATGGATGGACTCACTGATATGACCCTGTCTCCCACGTGCAGGATATTGTCTCTGTGAGCAGCTCCTCCTTCAGCAATACGAGAGATGAAGATTCCCTGTGAGAAAGTAGAAAAACACAGTCAATGATAATCTCATCTCAATACAAGCTTGTGAAGGAATTCTTCTATGCACAACAACGATGCATTTATTTGACCAAAAATACAGTAAAAAATCAATATGAAATATTATTACTGTTAAATATAACCGTTTTCTAAAATACTACATCTTAAAATGCAATTTATTGCTACGTTGGCAAAGCTCAATTTTCAGCATTCAGTCTTCGGTGTCACATGATCCTTCAGATATCATTCTAAAATGCTGAACAATATAATAATATAATATAATATAATATATAATTTCCTTACTATTATCAATGTTGAAAACAGTTGTTGTGTGTTGTATTTTTGTAGAAAGAGACATTTTTATTAGGATTCTTTGAAGAATTCTTTGCTTTGCTGACACTTTAGATCAATATAACGCACCATGAATTAATGTTTTTCAGTTCTCACTTCATTAACAATCTTTTCACAAGAATCATATTAAAAGTAGAGTCCTAAGAGGAGTTTCACAAAGAATCAAAAAACGGGTAATACTCTTGTAGTGTAACAACCATAATATCACTTGCAGTGCTATATTAGCTGGGGACATGAGCTGGCTTACACAGAGTGCAGTGCTCCTGTTCAGCTGTGTTAAGAGCTAGTCAGTATGCTGGTGTAACATGCTGCAATGCCACAAGCCTCTAAAGCAGAAATTATCCTGCTGACCTTAGCTTACAATGACCTACCTTGCTTTTAACAGCCCATTACATAGAGTTATTTAAAACTCTAAAAATGTAATTCAGACTTTGTAGTATTAAAAGAACAAACTATTTACAACCGTGAAGGCCACTTGATTCTTCAAAGACAACTCTGATAACAGTTTAACAGATTGTCCTCAAACAGCCTTTGTCAGCACTTTCACAGTATGTTCTCTAGAAGTGTGATCAGAACATTTCATGCCGAAGACTGAAGACATGCCGAAGCAGCAAACAGACCAGCAGACAACTCAGTGAGATCTACTTGTTAGTAAAAACACACGCAAATGTTAAGGAGGAGGACAAAAACAGGACTTACAATTACTCAGCATAGTGTGTGTGCATGTGCTAATGTTTGACTGTGTCTCCTTCGTGAAAGTGGTGCAAAAATGTGTGGCAGTATGGTGCGTGTCTGCAGTGGAGATCCAAAAATACTTCATCCCCTGCCATCCTATAATCTACAGGCCCTATCAGATGTCAGTTCCTGTAATTCTAATCATTGCAGCCTCGGTCAGCCATCCTAGAGGTGCTGAGGAAAGTCACGCAGAAGCTTAAGCTTGCATATGCTTCTGTTAAATGTTAAACAAATGGAGAGAATGGATGACATGTCCTGACTTCCGTAAACCACACCAAACAACCTGACACTGAGGCAATGAACACACCATGAAATATTCACTACAAGGCAAGTCACGGGTGCATATGCAAGAGCGTCTTGTGCTTACTGTGTCTCCTACTCGGTACAGGGTTGACCCTTTCCCTCCAGCAATGCTGAACCCTAAACCTTTATCGTTGCGGACCAGACAAGTGGCTAGTTGCAGCGCAGGACCAGTGCTGACAGCAGGTGAGGCAGAGTCCAGGAGGAAAGGCAGCCCACTGGACCGTCTCTCCCGGGGGAAATAATCATCTTCTGGTCTCAATGGCGTGGTGGTGACGGCGTTCTCTGGTTCAACCATGCGTTCCCTCAGAACGGTCATAACCAAGGCTGCCCCCGAGTTGCGCAAGGCCTCGACAGCTGTGTGATGCTCCGCTCCGTGCAGGTCTACTCCGTTCACCTGAGACCAGACGAATACAAAAATGGATGATTAAAAGCAGCATGAATTACTGGTTTTGTATGGTGCAACTCAAAAGAGAAAATGATAACAGATGTTCACCTCAAGAAGTTTGTCTCCCACTTTGACTCCAGCACGAGCAGCAGGGCCCTCTTCTGACACTCTAGAGATGAAAATACCCTGAAAAGGACATTATCAGTACATTAAAACAACCAACACACTCACACACACACTCACACACGCAAAAGCATTTATCAAAACTCATCTATTGCGTGAAAGCTCATTGAAATGTACCTCGTCATCACCCTTATAGGGCGTAGATCCTTTCCCCCCTGCTATGCTGATGCCTAACCCACCGGTCTGTCTCAGGATAGACAGGGTCAGCTACAGATGAAGCAGAGAGATCAGAAATTCACAGATAAATGCAGAACAAAATACTTCAAAGCATTTGCTATAATATGCGTGGCTTGACTCACAAAACAACAACAAAAAAGTTTTCATGCAGTGCATGCTGGTTTAGAAAGGAAATATTTATAATATGAATGACTGCATCTGTGTTCAGACAGATCAAATATATTGTCCCAACCAGTAGCCTTCTTTCCTTGATATATGCATTGCATTCATTTACATACTTTAAAAATTGAGCTCAAATGTATGGATCATTGGACAACCTGTTCATATTCAGACATACATTTAAAAACCAAGTTGAAAGATAACACAGAAGCACACAACCTCTGTTGATAAGAGAAGCCCTCGATATTTGCAAGTTGGATCAGCCTGACTGCTTGTCTATTTATTAAGCAGTTTGGGATTGTGACACTAAGTGGTTTACTCAAATCTTTTCAATCTTCGGAGTGAAAAATTCAACACTACAGGATTATAAAACGAACTGTGAATGTGAATTGTACACGATGCAAAGTTAAGGCAGGTTTTAGGAATACACCAGACGACTACAACTTTGTAAATGGTTAGTTACACAGAAAAACTGGGCATCTTAGACTTAACTGAGTGCAAAAAAAAACACATAAATAAATAAAAATAAGCAAATAAATAAATTAAATCAGAGTCTTTTGTCATTTTCAAATCTGCAGACTGGTTTTGTCTTTTTACAACTAGCACTGACTTGTCCAGACTGTAAATCAGGGCAAAAAGTTAGGCAGAAGTAGTGTAGTGTATTCCAGCCTTTACTCACCCTGGACAGTTTATACGTACAGACACCATATAGTCTATACAAAATGTACACTGATATAATCTATACAGAAAGTTAGTTTACATGCACATCTTTTATGTTCATGTTCAACAGGTCATGTAAGGAATCAATGAATGGCAATTAGACAATTTCATTATGAGTCTAATGTGATGAATTAGTAAGAAAGATAATTTTCTTTTAATGTTTTTGGATTCTTTGATGGATAGAATGCTCAAAAGAACAGCATGTATTTGAATTAGAATTTTTTTGTAACAGTATAAATGTCCTTTTACTGACTTCAAACAATAGTGTACATAAAATTCTTAACACCCAACCCTAACAAGAAAGTTGCTCCATGAATCAGTGAAAGACAGCTGGTTGCACAAAATCGAGTCAAATTCTTACCACTTTTCACATATAACATTATACATCTGATCAAACAGTCAAAAGTCTGAAGAATCAAGGAGAGGAGGCCAGCGCTGCTGGGACAGGACACCAAGGATCTGTTTGATTAATGCAGACTACATAAAGAACACATGCTCAAGTTTGAACATCACCGGTCTCAAAACTTGTAGTGGTTCAAAGTTTTGTAGATTAATGGCAAAAGACTCCACATCTAGTTCACTGTTATTGAACATTGTACTGTAACAGATTCATGGCCTAAAAAAGGAGGCTGAAGCCAATTCAATTCATTCTTATTTGTCCTTTTTTTGATAAAGACATAAAAAGATAACAGGAAAATTTATTAAAAAATAAATAATATCAACAATACAACTGAGGACAGTTTAATCACAACTTAACATCTGTATTGACTGATTAATTGAGTGCACACATCACCAAATAGTCTCAGCATGACATACCAATGATCACAAAATGAATGGGAGGGGTGGTGAATTTTTTTGTGGGATGGACTAGATGTGGTTGATTCTACAGCAGCAGCAGCCATGCAAAGTGGGTAGATGCGGAAAAACAAAACTCCAGTGAGGAAGAGAGAACGATGTTCTTGGTCAATGAAATCTTTAGAGATGTACAGCCATTTGTGTATCTAATATAAATTAATTCTCAGCTTCAGACATACTAAATAAAGTGGAAAGTAATCTTATTTGGTCTAATGCTATGGCTGATGGCCACTTATCTTACAGTGGCACTGGGTCAGAAATTATTTAAAAAAAATAATAGTACTAACCATTCATTCAAATACAAAAATGTATAAAAATGTAGGACATGGATTGGTGTATTCAAATAGTAAAACATTACTGACTTCTGCATGATTGTGTGATAGAGCTCAGAGAGGGTATCAACATTTTTGTGTTGAAATTAGTTGCATGGCTGACAATATCAATGGAAACATATTGCACAATGGGAAATTTATAGTATTCACATATTTTTATATTGCACTGTGAAAAAGAAAAACAGGGTTTGAGGGTTTGCTTTTGGAGAATGAAAAATCTCACTCCATCTGGTTCATGTGCAACTATAGGATGATTGATTTTAGGTGATTCCGGAACATCCGTCATACGGACTTTTATTTTAAGTAACAAATGTAAATTTCATTTGGAAATTTAATTATGGAACAACTCATTTTATGGGTCTTGTTCATTTCAATAAGACAAAACAGAGACACTTGTAATACGATGCAGCAAAAGATAAATCAATGTTTCCACTAGCACACGTGTACTCCTTGCTCCTAAGTGGCAGAACCTGACAGAGGGGTAGGTGGTGGAAAAGAGGGAAGAAAAACAGGAGGCAGACAGTAACAGAACCTAGTTTGGAGAAAAGCATGGTAAAGGATCCATAGACTTACACTAAGTTCATTACCGCAAAACTGTTTATTTGTTTTTACAAACTAAAGAACAAGGCAAAATTATTTTCTGTGATAAATGACAGAATGCCACAGATGCAGTTGACTGAGCTTAACTTTATTTTATTGTTTAAGTACTCAACCCAGAACATTCCTTTAATCTTCAGCTAACAGCTGCACCATGACCATTTTGTTCTCCAAACACTAAGATCCATTACAGCTGTGATTTATAGATAAATGTTAGTCAGCATTTCCCTAGCCATCCGGTGTGGATTAATGAAGGAATTTTGTGGGTCGTGATTCCCTGAACTGTAGGTGAACGATGAGTGAGTGAATGAATGAATGATCGAAAAAGAGAGAGAGAGAGAGAGAGAGAGAGAGCGAGGAAGAGAGCGGGAGTTTGGGCAGAAAGAGAGTAGGTACAGACCTCTTCCTCCTCAATTCGAGCAGGCTCAATCAGCAGATTATTGACTTGATCAAATGACACCCCCTGTTAGGACAGGAACCAGCGAGAGGGCATGCAGATTAGTCAGGCCAAAAAAAAAAACAGAAGCTTTATGACTGGAAATTAAATTAAATCGAACAAACATTCACACAGCTGACTGAATGACAGGCATACCTCCAAACACACACACACACACACACACACACACACACACACACACAGTAAGACGGGGCGCTTCCAAAACCACCACATATAGCAAACAACACTAACCTACACACTTAATGAGCTGCAAATGCATAGCAGGCGACAACAGAAGAATCATTAATGATTAGAAAAGCACTGATTATACATCAAAAACTAGTCCTGTGTCACAAGTGTAATATCTTCCGATTCAATTTGATTAGTCATTTTCAAAAAACATTTGATCATTTTTTTTGTATTGCTGCTTTAAAACAACATAGCACTGCTCAGTTCTCAGACTGCATTTAGCAAGTAGATTCAGCTCATGAAATGAACAGCTATTATCTGGAAAAGCTTGCTATTCATATTTGTACAAAAACATATTGCAATTCTGAAAAAGGTAATTTTACAGTCATCACACTTTACAAAGGCAGTTTAAAATGTTTAGCATTTTTTTACATTTAGGCTTGATAGGGAAAAAAAAAACTGTCTGGATTAAACAACCCAAGTTACAGGTTGTCAATATTAACCCCAGACAAATCACTCATTTGTCAATGCTATAAAACAAAGAAATAAAGCAATTACCCACATCCACATAAATGCCAATATTCACACAGGAACAGCAAACTACTTTTTTTTCAAACTGAAAACATGCACACACAAGCCCTGAGCAAGCATTCCTCAGCCACTCGTCCATTCAGTCATGGAGACCACACACACACACACCTCAGAATTCCTAACCCCGGTTAAAATATTTTGTACCAGATATATACAAAACTTGGCTTCAAAAGTTAATTTTACATATATAGCTTAATTAAAACACATTTAAGAAGTCAGTGAAAGATCGCAACGCATTCTGTTGCATATTTGTAGGAAACAAATTTTACATATATAGCTTAATTAAAACACATTTAAGAAGTCAGTGAAAGATCGCAACGCATTCTGTTGCATATTTGTAGGAAACAAATTTTCTCACTCTTTTTTTTTGTTTGCTACCCATAAAACCCCTAAAGGGTTCATGCAATCTTTCTGGTTAAATGCTTAGATTATGTATTTTAAAGACCAGTGAGAGTCTTCATATTTCTACACAATAATAATAATAATAGAAAAAACATAGTTGAATATTTAATTGATGTAAAGCTCAGGTATAATTTAAAATGATCAGCACACAGACAGTTGTGGAAAGGTGGGCAAAGAGGGTAGTGTGCACTACTTCCCCCAGGCAGCAGAGACAGCAAATGATGATGAGAAGCAAGAGCAGTGCTCAATGGGGGGATTCAAGCTGTGGAGGAGGAGCTAAACATAGCCAAAGTGTGGGACAAAACAAGGAGAAGCTTTTTCATTGAGGTTCTGTCCTTTCAATCAGACCAAAGGCAGAGGTCATCGTAAAACAAGCATCATTCAGGCAAAACAGTCTACGATATCCTTGGCATACTTTGCATGCTCCCAATATTCATTCCAATGGCATGATGGCTCTGATACAGATAAAATGATTGAAATAGCTGCATTTGAACAAATATTGTTGCAGAGGGGTCTAAAAGTGTGAGACTGCAAACTAAAACGAAAGTGGCACAAACCAAAATAACATTCTGAAATGTTCTGATAATTTAAGTACAGTACCATTCAAAAGGTCAGGTCAGTAAGGTTTAATGTGTCTTTTGATTAAAAGAGACAGTAGAACGATTTCTAAAAGATCATGTGACAATGAAGACTGGCGCAATGGCTGCTGAAAAAAAATCAGATTTGCCATCACAGGAATAAATTATGCTTTAAAATGTAATAAAATTACAATTTAAGAAATTATTATAATTTAAAATAGTTATTTTAAATGTTAATAATATTTCACAAAAATCCTGTTTTACAGTGTTTTTGATCAAATAAATTCAGCCTCAGTAAGCATAAAAAACTTCTACTAACCCCAAACTTTTGAACAGTTATTGTAACTCAAATCGTTTCTTCTAATAATATTATTTGTAATTAAAAAAATTGTATTATGCTAGTAATACACTAGGGGTCTCAGACTTTTAGCAGTGTAGTTTGTACATCTGGGACTGAAAAAAAGATGTGCACATTATTAAAAAACTCCACATAACAAACCCTCAGACAATATAAACTGATTTCAACAGCGACCTGTCTATACACTTTAAATTAATTAACCAAGCTTTCCCACAGCATTCCTTCTAGAAGTGAACCCTTCTTACCTTCACTGGCTGCAGGGACGAGTTCATCTGACTCAGCCTGCTGTCTTCTAGCTCAGCTGCTTCTAGTCTGTGCTGAAAAGGGGTATTGACCGTTACTCCTCCCTCATCCTCCTCCTCCTCCTCCTCACCATTCCTCTCGTCCTCAGGGGTGTGAGTATTAGGTGAGAAGCCGTCATGACTGAAGCCTTGCAGCAGGGCGGCGACAGTCTCTGGTTTGGGCAGCTTGGTGATCTTGAAGTGCTTTTTGTAGTGTGGTGTGTCTTTACGTATGAGCCGCTGTTTCTCTGCAGGAAAAGGTGGCGTTCGAGAGTACTCATCGCTCCTTTCCGCATCTTCATTGTCTTCTTCATTTTCATCTTCTTCCTCCTCATCACCGCCACGGATGATGGGCTCTTCAGCAAAGTGCACAGTAGGCTGCGAAGGCAAGAAAAATGGTTTCCTGGATTACCAATTCAGTGACAGAACCCTTTATTGCTCAGAACTTTGTAAAACAAATTGCAACATATTCACACAAACCTAAACATTATCTATACCAGGGGTGGCGAACTCCAGTCCTGGAGAGCCACAGCCCTGCAGAGTTCAGCTCCAACCCTAATTAAAACTCACCTGCCTGTAGCTTCCTAATAACCCTTCAGACCTTGATTAGCTTGTTCAGGTGTGTTTGATTAGGGTTGAAGCAAAACTCTGCAGGCCTGCGGCTCTCCAGGACCGACGTTCGCCACCCCTGATCTATACAGTAGCTTGCACATGTACAATAGAGGTCACGGTTACATGCAGGATGTGCTAAACATACGTTATACATACCTCAGTATACTCCACCTCCATCTCATCCAGCTCCTCCTCCTCTTGACCATGTCCATCATTAATCTCCACACCTGTATTGTTGATACCCCGCTTCTCTTCCTGAGAGGCGGTGCTACTGGATGTCTGAGAATCATGACTTTGATTGGACAGCCCACTCAACCGTTTCTCCTGTGAAAAACCATCATACATAATCAATAGAAAAAAACTGAGTTTGTATCTAATATTTAAACAATAATGGTTAAAAAAATCAGTTTGCATGTAATAAAACATTTAATGTATTTCATAATATTTAAATAGCAATATATATATAAAAATAAATGAATAAAATTTTAAATATATATATGTATATACATAGCCACAAGTAGCAAGAACAGAACAGAACTTTCTTAAGCATGCTTTCTTAACATAACCATAGAGGAGTCCAAGCACCAGTGTCTTCTCATGTAGCATTAATTTCATTAATGAAAACTATGACGAAACAAGCTTTTATTCCCATGACTATAACGAGATGACAATAAGGTCAATAAATGATAATTGTGACTATATCAACGTGCAATATCACTGACAATTGACAAGACGGTTGACCCTGAGTAGTCAGCTAAATATCTACAGTGGATCTAAAATATGAATAGTTAATTATAACTAGTTATGGTTAATTATTCATATTTCCTGTCGTTGAGCTAAATTCGCTACACAATAAAAGACTCAAATGTATTAAAAAAAAAAAAAAAAAAACTTTACAAAAATCTCTTTTTATTTTCGTCAAAGAATAAAAAAAAAAGAGACAAAATATTTAGGGATGCACGATATATCGGCCACCATATCGGTATCGGCCAAAATTTTCATATCGGTGCATCCCTAAAAATATTATTGGACTGCTGTACATGCCTCTACTATGCAAGCTTTCATTTTTCATGTCTGATCAGGGCGATAACCACCGTAGACATTGAGGAGGGCTAGTCCCCCCAATAATTAGAAATCGCTAAACCCTTTTCTCAAATATTGCCAATGAGAGAGAGAGAGAGAGAGAGAGAGAGAGAGAGATGAAAGTTACGTGAATGCGCGTTTCTCTTTTTAGAGTAAGTTTACTTCAAAAACAGCGATTTTATCCTCTCGTTGCTGGAAAATATAATGTAGCGATTCAGTATTTAAACTGTTATTAATAAAAGTCATGGGGCAGCATTCACAAGTTTCTTTTCTCCTGGATGTGTGATCTGCGAGATCTCCGATATGTGTGTGTGTGTCTGTGTGTGTGTGTGTGTGTGTGTGTGTATTGTAGGAGCTAGATGACGTATGATGACGTGTGACGACATAATAGTGGTGTCTCAATTCTTAGAGGAATATTTTCACCCCTACCCCTTGACACTCTGTTTCAAGGGACAAGGGGAAGGGGTAGGCGGAGGGGGAGAGGTATAAAATAGAATTGGGATTGGGCCTAAGACAAAATTAACACTAGTCTCACGTGAATGATAAGGTGATGCAATTGAAATGTATCTTTTCAAAATACAATGTGATTTTTATAACAAAGCCCATCTAAGTCAATATTACCTTAAAAGAGACAAAAAACTGTTTTGTCTTCAATTTGTGTGGAGAGCAATATACAGTATTTATTAATGTCTAGAATCTTGATATATTTCCTTGTAAACTAATTAAATAAATACAATAATATATAAAAATATATAAATTACTGTATTTAGTAAGTTGCACCTAAATATAATTCACAATATTTATGAACATTATAAACACATTTTAGTTCCCCATACTCAACAAAAAAAATCTTCAAATGTAGAAGTATAGAGAAGAATAATGAAAAATAAGTGTCAAACTGCATTGGCATTGGTTATAAACTGTAAATTGTATTGTAAAATACAGTTGAATGTCAGTGCACCCTACCATGCATTTATTTCCATTCAAATTGATGGAAACTAAAACAAAAAGCAAAATGTGCCTTTGTTTGAATTTACCTCAGAGTCCGGGGACTCCAGATCCTCATCTGGCTTGGCTGTATAAGCCTCATTTCTTCTGGCTTCAATGACATTCTTCATCACCTTTAACTCATTGGGATGTGGTGTGGCTCTCCTCTGAAGACCCTGCTGGTTCACATATACAGCAAGAGTGTTAGCACATGCACAAAATTTCATGCAAACAGTTGTCCAGAAATCATAAACATCCTGTACGCATTTCCACGTTCACCCTATTCTCTGCCGCAGTCTCCTCATCTTCCTCTTCGTGTTTAGAGTCATCCTGGAACTGAATGACCGATACTCTGTTCAAATTAGTGTCTGTGGGCCAGGTTTCATCGACACTCCTGTCCAGTAGATTCTCTGCAAAGTATATTACAAAATATTGCAATATGATGTGTGTCCTGGATTCAATATGGGTGCAGTCTCAGCCTCAGACAGTACGGGTATGGACCAGCCAGTCCTTTTTGCAGTGACTTTAAATAGACTTTTTCAAACAAAACAAAAAACATTCACAGGCATTCAACCTGTAAAATAATCTGTATATACTTGTACTTTTTTCTAAGCCAGAAGAAGTTGCAATGTGGGGTAGACACAAAAGTCTGGCTATGCAAAGCTGCTTTGGGTGTGACTATAACTTGACTATAGCATGACAACTCCATTCACAAGGACGGTGGAGTGTCTTACCAAGGCTCGATGAGGTTTGCTGAGGCAGCAGGTAGCAGGTGAGAACTTTTTCTCCAGTCCGCTCATCATCCTCTGTCTGGAACTTCAGCATGGGTTGAGACTGGTTCTCTGCCAGCCACATGGCCTTCAGGTTCAGATTGGCCAATGCGAAGGGTAAATTCTGCAACCTGGGACAAGGGATGGAGAAACTTCAGTGCATGAAAAAAACAGCAGGTCACAATTCTTATGGTCACTCTGACCATCCTACATCTAAACCCTTTGATATAGAGACTTTAACATGGTTTCCTCTACAGTCTAGTCTACAGAATGCATTTTCACCTGTTGCCTGCCACGTCCAGCACGTGTAATTCTGTTGCATTGGCGAGCTCAGAAGGTAGTTTTCCCAAACGGTTATCTCTGAGGGAGAGCACGTTCAGGCTGACACAACCTCCCAGTTCTGCTGGCACGCTGCTCAAGCGGTTTCGGTCCACATTCAAGTTGGTCAAATTCTTCAGCTTCCCAAGTGAGCGAGGGAGGGACTGAAAGAGAAAACAGCACAAGGAAGTTTTCACAATGGGCTCTGCTCTGACACGTCTGCTTTCCTCTTGAAATTTGGAAGTGCAGTTCTGCTGTTGAAGTTGTTGGATTCTTTAAGATCCATTTTTACTCATTTGCAAGTCATTTCGGATGAAAGCATCCTTTAAACAAACTAACAAACGCAATGTAAATGATTCCAATGTATAGTTAACCTGTTGACAAATAATTCCCACTACTGTACCATGTATTGTACCATATACCCCAAAAAAAGATATAGTCTAATAAAAACTAGTATAATAAAATCGAAGCATTACATAAAAAAATTTGATAATCCAAAACCAGTGAATTAAAGAAAGTGGAGTAAGCAAATAAAAGCAGTCATAACAGAGATCAGCTGGTGCAGGTTGTGTACCTGGAGAAGGTTCTCAGTCAACATAAGCTCTGTCAGGTTCTCACACTTGCCAATAGAGTCTGTGAGATGCACTAAGCGGTTCTGGTTCACTTTCAGAATGGACAACTTCTTAAGTGAGCCTGTTGAGAAAAACAAATTTCATGGATGCCTTGAGATAAATACAAAAACATCTGTAGTCATATTAAAATGGTTTCAAGATGAACACTGATTAAGGACAGAAACATGATTTGAAATGAAATACACAGTGTACATAAGTGATAGTAGCTGTAAAAAAACACACATTAACCTTAAGCCTGTCATGACAGTGCAGCAATAGGATGACTCAAGTCTACTGACACTAGGGGGCAGTGTTGTGATTTTCTAATCAATAAAAACATTTCTCAGTGGATCAGAATAAACTCAAATCTTAAACATTGACTATGACTATAATGGTTTAAGTTCTAATTTGGACAATTTTACATTACTAAAGGTGTATCTTGCTGTCCTGAAAGAAACCAAATACTGTATTTTAACATATTTAGTTATCACCTGATTGGAACTTTGAAAACAGAGGATTTCAAATCTCCCCCTGGTTAATCACAAGACTCATAAGTCAGAGAAAATTGTAAAGTTTGTAATATAACAGGAACAGCAGGTGCATGTTAAATCACATGTGTAACTAACTAAATACCTACACCCTGTGAGCAAATAAGGTATCAGACTGAATGCAAGTGTGACAATTTTGGTGAGCAAAGGTGTCACCATACTGGTTGATTTTAGACTGGACAGCACATAATTTTCAGTAAGATGATTCAGAGTTTACAGTGAAGGCAGGTCAACATTTTTATTGTAACAGCCATGTCTCTACGCAAAAGCAGGAATAATCTCATATTTATTGATGTTTGTAAGAGGGATATAGAGTTTCACCAATGCTGTCCGGCAAGACTTCCAGGAGGTTCTCAGAGAGCAGCAGGTCTGTGAGGGCGATAAGGCCACTGATCTCTGTGGGAAGCTCTGATAGACGGTTCTCTGACACGTCCAAGCAAACCAGCTGCCGCAGGTTCCCCAGCTCCTGTTAAACACAGAGGTCAACTTTCAGTCAGCTGAAAGTAAATTAAGGCACTCTAGTTTCCACTCCAGTTATCCCCAGAACAGGCACATGGCACATGCATTCAGCTGTGCTGAAGGTAAACAATGTCTGAAAAGGACAACATCTGTATGAATTTGAACTAGATATTTAAAACAATCAAGACAGATGACCAGTATGATAACGAGCTAATCAGAAGCTGTCTGTACTCACAGGAGGTAGTGAGGAGAGCTGGTTTCTGTCCAACCAAAGTTCACGAAGATTGGGCAGTGCCCCAAGTGTGTCAGGCTGAAAAGAAGAAATAAAAAGAAAGCAGATTAAAGACAGGATATGGAAAAAGAGAAATATGACATGAGTCAAATTTTAATTAAAAAAAATAACAATATTAAATGATAAATTAATCAGCAGGCGCTCAGGTGTTGGTTCAGTAAAGGAAATGATAATCAGAGATCCACTGGGGCAAACAGAAATAACAAGCTCTAAATAAACCTGAAAACACGGCATGCATGTGTGTGCATAATCTAATAACTAAAACATCTAAAGTATTCTCAGGACCAAAAAAATGTCTGCTTCTTACCAAAACTTCCAGTACATTGCTTCCCAGATCCAGCTGTTCCAGTTTAACCAGGAAGGAAAGAGAGCTAGAGGATGATCGAGACAGATTTCACATTTAATGTTATTTGCATCCATGTTTTAGGGTGTAAAAAAACATGAACACTGTGGATCTAATAACTGCAGTTTGAGAGGAAAATACTCACGAGGGCAAAGATTTCAGTAGATTCTCCCTCAGCTCTAGAGTCACCAGGTTTGACAAGCTGAGAGGAGAAAAAAAGGAAAAGAGCCAAGACTGAGTGTCAGATGGTGAGTGTGTCGCTCAGTTTGGAAGAGTAAGGGGCTCCCCCATCAGCACAACATTAACAGTGGCCAAAGTCAATGTGTGTGTGTGTGAAATGGAAAGAGACAGTGTGCGTGTCTGTATGTGAATGGGATGCCTGCTTTGTGTGCTAATTACAAAAGTGATGATGAAAATGATAAAAAGACATTTAGATATTCTAAAATAATATGCACAGGTATTCCCCTTTGATTTTATCCATAACTTTGATTACATGTTGCATAAAATTAAGGGTTGCTTTTTGAGGCTATACTACATTAACACGCATATAGTATCATATAAATGACTGACATAAAAGACACATATTATGATGCTTGCTTTTTATATCTATAATTTTAAACTCAACTATTTTCTGAAAGCACATTACAGACTTTATTGTGAATGACTCATCCATGCATAGGTTCATCAAAAGTTTGACCTCGTAATGTTTAATCAAACTGTCGAAAATGAAAACGATGGAATTCTTTTGGACTCTTGGACAACCGATAGACTAAAAGTCACCGTCCTTTAGTTTTTTTCTTTGTGATAATCTTTTACACTCGCGTGTACATCACAATACAGAAGAGAAGACCTGTCGCTACATCCATTTCATTGTGACTAAATGAAAACGTGTAAAAAACATTACATTTTTACATAATACATTTTCTTGTGCGAGGGACAATTTTTTTTTTTACACGTTTTTATTAAAAAAACTAATAATAAAAAAAAAACCTGGAATAGAACGTGTTCATATAGACTTACTTTCCAATGTCATTGGGTAGAGACTGCAGCGACACGTCATTGAGTGATAGGTGAGCCAGTCCTCTGAGCTGTGTGAAGCCATCAGGCAACCTGATGCAACAGTGACAAAAGGAAAATGAGACGCACAATGGAAAAGGTGCTGACTGCCTTTTCCATTGTACTGACTGCACTGCACTGACAGACCCAAACAAAGGGTCTGTTACATTCTCACCTGCTATAAAAATAACATTACAGCATTTTAACAGAACATATGATCATTTGTAAACACTTTTTAGTGTCAGTCTTTCTTCTCCCTTCCCAACCTTTCTACACCTTTCATAATCAAGAAAGTGTCATTTGGTATGAGGCAGAGCTTTGGGTGGATTTGGGGGTTCTTCCAACACACTAACCTGGACAAGGGGTTTCCGCTGAAGTCTGCCATCTCCAAGGCCTGACAGAATTTAATGTTTTCGGGAATCTCAGAAATATCTGAGAGAGAAAGGCACAGTCAGCAAGATATACTGGAGGAGTGTCACGACAAACTGAGCACTTTTTCAGGCTTTTTAATAATGGCTACCAGATGGCCTGGAGGAACGGGAGGAGAGGGTGATTTGACTGTGGTGAGAGTTTTCTGTAAGTGCGCATTTATCTTCCTCTGAGTTATATGGGATCCGAGCCACACATTCAGTACCCAGTGAGAGTCACTTCATTTGCTGAGTTGCAGAATAAAACACTGCATAGTCTAAATACAGAACAACATGTTCAGCATTCCCACAATCAATCCTGAGACTAACAGTGAATGTGCCTCGGGCTGTGTGAGGCACATGAGAAGACAATTGGGTGTTGAAATTGATGTACACTTCTTAAATAGACATGGCTCAAAGAAAAGATTCCAGTGCACTGTGTAAGGAAGCTTTCAAGTGCCACACAAGATGTGTAGGAAAGTGTGTGTAAATATCTCTAGATGGGTGCAGTTTAAAAGCAGCTTTATTTTTCAGCAGCAGGGCACATTTAAGAGAGTTTTACATACCATTTCTGGAGATGTCCATCTCCACCAGGTGCGTGAAGTTGGCAATGTCGGGTGATAATTTTTGAATCTCATTGTCACTGAGGCCCAGCTTTCGCAAATTGTGCAGTCTGAAGAAAGGCTGAAAGAGAAAGGAAGAGTAAGAATTAGACAAAACGCAGTTACATACTGGACAGGTGATGTTGGTAAAGTTATTGCAATCTCCTTATATTGGATATTTATTTGTTTCTGCCCATTTTAGCAACAGTGATAGATTAGAGCGAAGAAAAAAAATTCTGTTGGATGATCATCACCACTCTCTCTTGAAGTGTGCTTCCCTTTTAGGAGCTAATGTCCGCATTTATTGGTTATGGCTTATAAAATAAAAATAATTACAGGTCAACTGGTATTTGTCTTTTTTTGCATAATGACATTATATCTGACTGATTTGTAGAAATCAGGGTGGCTGGTGACAATGAAAAACGTCAAGCACTACTAGATACTGCATGGTTGCACCGACAGATTTACAACAAACAAGGTTATACAATCATTGCTATGTTGCAATTGCAAATAACAGCTTGCCAAAAAATTGAGAAGGCCAATGAAATTCAAGCATTTGCATGCTACTTCAACGAGCCAGATTAGAAACTAATGACCACAGTTCAAATACCTGACAAAAGCTCATCCACACACACTTCTCTAAACAACTAACAATCATGTAAAGTGAAGGCAAACGTGTGTCTGTTTTTGCACGCCATGCTACTCTATCAAGAGCTTGCTTGTTAGTTGGTCAAATTCAGTACATTCCTGCTGCTGTGGCCCTTTATTCCCTCTCCTCTTTTTATGCTGGGCTGAACAGCACCAACAGAGGGCTTACTATGTATTGCCAAGAATAAGGCTGATACTGCAGGATGTGTGTGTGCGCGTTGTGACTCTGAAAAGAAATTCTGATACACTGGTACACAAGGCCAAAACACCGAAACCCTTTGTAAAAAGACAAGATGTAAAATAAGAATAAAGGATGAGAACAGCACATGACTGTGGGAATGTAACTCAAAGCTTGAATAAACCAAACAACGGTTACCACCTCCCTATAAGGCAGTGGGGCCTGCAAGGGGGACCCAGCAGACTTCCTAGGGGCCTCAAGATGACTTACATTATATAAAATTTTGTTAATTGAAATAAAGCTTAAATGACAACTAAAACTAGCTGGCTTCAGCAACTAACTTAAGTGTAAGCTGAAGCACTAAAATTACAAACTGGTAATAAATGACTAAAACTGAACTAAAACTATAACTTAAAATAAATGATTCTAAATGGAAATATAAAAATAAATATAGCTGCAAGCAGCGATGGCGGGCCCAAGCCGTCAATGCAAACGCCACCCCGGTGGCATCAGGAAAACTGTGCCCAGCGGGCACATGCATTTACAGTAACCCTCTGGCAGTCTGGTTTTAAGGGATATGGCAATTAAAGGGTTAATCCAAACCATCAAGTCTGTGAAACACAAATAGAACAATATATAAAACTTTAACACTTTACAATAAGGTTTCAGTTATTAACATTAACTATGTTAATTAACATAAACAATAATTATATAGCATTTATTAATGTTAGGTAATATTCAAAGCTTAAACATTATTACAATTTTGTTTTATCTGTTAACATTAGATAATGCACTGTGAATTAACATGAACATTTTGATTAACTTGACTAACATCAACAAAAATTAATAAATGCTAAGAAAATATATTGTTCATTGTTAGTTCATGTTAGTAAATGCATTTACTAATGTTAACAAATTAGACTTTATTTTAAAGTGTTACCAAAACCTTTAATGATTTATAAGCATTTTTTAACAATTTTATTGATCTATAATATTTGTGAAATATTTTTGCCTTCATTACAGCTTAGTCTTCATCTGTGAGCTGAACTGTTTTACTGTTACATTTATGAGATGATGTAAATTCAGATAAATGTCACGTCACGGGATGTCATAGGTCAGTATCACACGAGTGTAAAATTATTATTTGCAGCACAAAAAATTTATAAGTCCACGTTTATGTATCTTTAGATCTTTTTTATGTTCTAACTAACATAACTATTAAAATAATTAAATAAAATTGTCAGTGCCCTACAAATTAACTGGTGAAAAAAGGATAAGGCCTAAGAGATTTCTTAAGCTGTAATGCATGAAAACAACAACAACAGCTGGTGATTTTCTGGTGATTAAAGAGATGTTTAAAAGTCTCTCTCTCTTTTCTCTCTCTCACCCACCTCTTCACTCACCCCCACTCTCAACCCCCCACTCCCCCTTCCTCACACAGAGGCAGAGTGGCAGAGTGAGATCAGATGTCTGCTAGTTTTTAAATTTTCTGTTGTCCATAGAGCGTTGTAAAGTCATGAAGTTAGCATATTTCCTCAGAATGACCTGTTCTCTTTATGTAAAAAGTTTTGGAGTGTTTGGAAGCTGCACTTTAATAATATAAGACAATTACTTTTTCCTTTTTTACTGTTATTTTAATAAATAGCCACGGCAAAACCGTTCAATCTATCCAAAATCCATCCGCAATTTAAGTTCCTCAATGTTTTAGCATCATGTAGACAAAGTTTGGTGTGTATTAGGGCTGCACGATAAATCGTATGCGATATTTAATGTGCATCTTATCAGTAAAGCCGGTTCTGTAATCAGCGGTAAATCGCCATCATCTGCGTGCTTTCACATTGAGCAGCATTAACTACACAGAGCCGTTGTTCACTGACGAGCTGCGCAAAACCACGTTCATATTTGCGCGATTTTTGTGCAGCTCATCAGTGAACAACGGCTCTGTGTAGTTAATGCTGCTCAATGTGAAAGCACACACGTGATGGAGATTTACCGCTGATTACAGAACCGGCTTTCTGACAAGATGCGCGTTAAATATCGCATGTGATTTATCGTGCAGCCCTAGTGTGTATAGTGTAATTCTCCTCTGAGGAGTATGCATTAATTCACAGCTATATTTTTCCAAAAATCCATATTCAAATCAAAATAGCCGACTTCCTGTTGGTTGTAGCTAATTACTGTAAATTAGAAAGTTGTCCGGCTTGATGAGACTGTAGTTAAAACTAACCCCCCAAGTTTTGTCAAAAGGTGGCGCTATAGAGTGCCTTTTCCACACCCTTTTATGAGCTTTTGGCAGTGTCTATCTATCATTAATACTGATATGTGTGTTGAGTTTCTTGAAATTCTAAGCATGTTATCTGCCTCAAAATCACCAGAAAAGAATATTCAAATTTGACACATTGCCATAGCAACAATATTTTAGATATCAATATCCCCACAACAGTTTTTCATCGGCCGTGTTTTGACAATATTCTGAAGAAGTTTGAAGCAAATCGAGTAAAAACAAGATGCTGAATTCAAAGCATTTTGAAAATGACACTTCCTGCTGCCAGTTGGTGGCACTATAACTTTGACTCCTAATAGTCACATCTACGCGATCGGCATCATACAACGAACAAGCCTCTGAAGTTTGATCAAAATCAGACAATGTGTGCAACAGTTATTAGACACATCCTGTTTCCCATTTCTCGCCATAATGTTGTCGCCTTGCCACGGCCAAACCGTTCGAGATATCAAAAAATCCCTTCGCAATGTAGCGTCCCCAATGTCTTCAGATAATGTTCACCGAGTTTGGTGGCTATCGGTTGGAAATCCTCAGAGGAGTATATATGTGCACCGAGTTTCATATGAATCCGTGCAAGTATGTGTGAGGTATACATCAAGTTTTCTGACTGTGTTCCAGGGGGCGCCGTAGAGTCCCTGTGCCACGCCTGGGTCCCAGCCTTTGTGGCGTCTTAATGGCCGCAGATTCCAACGTATGTGCCAATTTTCAAGAGTTTTTGAGCACGTTAAGGCCCCCAAAAAGCCCCGGATAGTCGAAATAAAAATAAAAATAATAATAATAATAAATATAGCTGCAAGCAGCGATGGCGGGCCCAAGCTGTCAGTGCAAACGCCACCCCGGAGGCATCAGGAGAATGGTGCACAGCGAGCACATGCATTTACACTAACCGTCTGGCAGTCTGGTTTTAAGGGATACGGCAATTAAAGGGTTAATCCAAACCATCAAGACTGTGAAACACACATACACAGAACAATATATAAAACTTTAGTAGCACTTTACAATAAGGTTTCAGTTATTAACATTAACTATATTAATTAACATGAACAATAATTATATAGCATGTATTAATGTCAGTTAATATTCAAAACTTAAACATTAAATAAATTGGCACACTATGAATCATTAGTTAATGATTAGTAAATAGTAAATTCATCCTTTATAAAGCATTGTTCCAACATTAATAGCCATTAGTAATCAGTTTATAAATACAGCTATAAATGTTTTGTTCTTGAGAATATCTATAATGTTTAATAATTGTATTTTCACACTTTATTAATGATCAATTATCATTTCTAAATGAGTAAGTTATTTACAAACCAGTTATTTAGGAGTTCTTAAGATCATTTAGAAAGTGTATGTAAATGATTAATAAACTATTTAAATGTATATTTATAAATCTTATATTTATAAATGTATAAATCTTTTTATTTAAACACATGATAATAGTTGCTCAGTGTGTTAATAAATACTTTATTTACATATTGCTGCTGTAATTCATGATTAGGTCAGGTAGTTATAAAACATTTAGAAGCTGCCAGCCATCTATTTTTGTGAGCTCATCTACAGTGAGGACTGTTTATAACCTATATATTTATATCTAGGCCTAAGAGAGTTCTTAAGCTGTAATGAAAAAAAACAAAAAACAATTACTGATTTTTTTTTCCTGGTGATTAAAGATATGTTTAAAAGTCTCTCTCTCTCTCTCTCTCTCTCGCTTTCACATCCCCACTTTTTT